CAGAAGATAGTGTTTTATTAGAAAATTAATTTAATAAAATTATTTATTCCGTGATGTCATCGGTTATCGTCAATTCCAATCAGGGCGACATTTTTGGTTTAATAAAGTCAGTTCATTGTATGAGTTGTATAGCCGAGTTAACGGTTCAGCTTGATAGACTTATTGGCCGTTATTTACCCCCAATAAATTGAGGCGATCAGTTAATTTAGCCGCCAGATTGGTGGCAGAGCGCGTTCTCTTATTAAGCTGTAAATAAGTCTTATCCGACCTCCTTTATATCCTACACCGACACCACTAACTCCTAACATGACAATCCACCCCCGCCTACCCTCCTATCGACTATTGAATTTTTCCGCTTCGACGAGAAAACGATACCGTTTTTGGAATCGTATGGTCATTATCGAAACTGATCGAGGACGAGGAGCTTTCGCTTCTGTTTATGGGGGCTTTTGTTTGCTTTATGGTAGTCACCTAGTTTCGCTTTTACAAAAAATTGGCCTTGTCCTATTTCACTTTCATGATAATCACTCGTGTTATGAAAGGAAAACTACTGAACGAACAGATTTATTGAAGAGATGTCACAATATTGTTCTTTCAAGAAAATAATGGAGACGAGAATGCCAGAAATGTCCAGTCTCGTCAAAACAGAGTGTTTCATCCATTATTTATGGAACCGCTTGTATAAAAATCAGTTTTGTACCGTGTTTTGCAATTTCATACACTTTTCCAAACACATCATTTCCTACCAGAAATTAATAGTAAAATTTCTTTTTTGCCCATGCTTAGGGGAGTTTCAAAAATAGTTTTTTACACAAGACCGACAAGAGGAAATTGTTAATACACCACGGACAATGTTCCGAGTGAATTTTCTTCATATAACAACTACGGCCCAACAACATTAAGCATAGAAACATCATTTAGCAAAAATAAAGGTAAAATAGACTTATAATCGACAGTACCAAACAATAAAACAATAAAACAAAAGACCCATCATGAAAGTTCCTACGAGAGTAATTATTCCCATCATAAAAAATGTTAAATTTGTAGCATACAAATTTAACAATTTTCTTTTGTGAATCTATGGATTAAATTTTAACGACCTATAGGCCGTTAATATACAGGTGCGCCCGAACTCGAGCCCCAGAGAAAAATGCCACGTAAGGTAAGATACCAAGAACATGTTAAAAAGGAAATGTTAAAAAAATTCTATCTACCGGATGTCCTAGGCAGGCTTGAATTTAGGAAATTAACATGGGAAATTAGTTTTTATTTTTTTCTAACTGTTGGAGTAAAATTTCGATTTTTTAGAGCCGTTTTCGTCCAAATGGAGTTAATTGGAGAATCGACAAAAATGTCGATAACATAGCCCTTTGCAAGCACTACAGGCTCCATTAATCAGATTTTGACTTCTGTTACTCCTACAGCCGGAAAAAATAAAAACTAATTTCCCATGTTAATTTACTATATCCAAGCCTGCCTGCTTTTATACAGTGAGCGACAAAATTATGGAATAATCTTATTTATTCTTTTTAAAAAATACAAAATTCTCATCTTGATTTAAACTTGTATGTTTGTTTTTTGTTGATATTATTTCACTTTTTTGGTGATTTTTTTTCGAAAACTTTATGCAACATTCATATATTGGTGTTCTCATTTTGACACTTAACAGAGCTATCGAATTGGCCAAAAAAATTAGGAGTTTTCATTTTAAAAAGATGTCGATGACGTCATTACTCAAAAACCAGAAAGTGTGAAATTTTAAATCACGTTGAAAATTGTGTATTTTTTAAAAATAGAATTGACAAGCATTTTTGCCACAACAAAATATTTTCACTTTAAATAAGATTATTCTATAATTTTGCCGCTCACGGTAATAGTCACATCGTCTTTTATAATACTTATAAGTACATAAAATACACATATCTTTGTCAATTTTGACAAATTTCTTTATAGTAATTTCTGAATTTAGTAAAATTTCAGATCCAATATTAGTTTTGAAAAAAAATTGAAGACAACACAAGTTTTATAGTTTAACATTTTTGTTGTCTTAATAGCTTTAATTACTCTGTATAAAAAAGTACTAACTGAAACCCTTAAATTACAATCGTAAAGTTTCTAAATACAGTTTGCAAAATTGTGCATAAGAACGCTACAAAGAAGATAAGAATCTTTTAACTTTATTATAAAAAAAAAATCGAACTACTACTACTAGGTACTACACAACTTCAGGGTGTGACAGAACTCGCGACCCAGAGAAAAATTTCAAGTAGGATGAGATACCAGGAACATGAAAAAAATCTTTAAAAAATTCTATCTGTGAAAAAATTTTGACATTCATTTTTTGACATTTGAAATATTTTATGTCTATTTAATGATACTGATGATTTTATATAAGTTTTTTTATAATTATTTAATAAAATTACAAATTTTGCCAATAAAAACCACAAATAACATTAAACAGAATTATAATTTAGACCTTTCTTGTTTCCTCTTCTAATAGCCTGTAGCAAAAAAAAAATTGGAAAATTATTTTTCCAACAGAAATAGAGTCAAAGTGCAAATTTTAAACTGTCATAACTTCGAAATTTTTATAGATAGAATTTTTTCAAATTTTTTTCCATGTTTTGGTATCTTACATAACATAGCATTTTTCTCTAGGGCGCGAGTTCTGGCGCATCCTGTATTTCTCGTAATAAAATAAAAATAACCACATATTAAATAGTTGTACAAAAATCAAAGTTACAAAACAAATATATTGAAAAAATAGAAGCATAAAGACTTGTGTCATAAAATAAGATAATATTATTAAAAGGCATTTCCAGAGGCTCCACTTCTGAGAAGTTGGGTGGTGTATTAGTTCCGCTAACAAGCAGGGTAAACCCTGACGAAGAAAGTATAAATGATTTTATATTTTTATGGCTCACTCTCGTTTTATAGCCTCATAATTTCCGATGCTACCGGTAGAGCAATAAAAGTTTAGATCTTTTGTATTTATTCCAAAATTCGTTGTAAAATATTTATCTTTTGGCCGTTGATTGGCCATTATATTTCAACATTTCGCTTGGTTGTCGGACTCTGTTGCCCCCGATTTATATCCAGATTAACTATGAATAATTCGCTCTATAAAACTCTAGTCAGTATTACAATGTTATGTTTACACCCTTATTATTCGAGATGTGACAAGGGGTCAACGAAGGCACTGGTGTATATGATAATATAATATTAACCCCATTATACAAATGGGGGTAGGATTGGATGACTCTGGGTTATCTCTCTTTATTGCATAAGGCCTTTCACGGTTCGAAGCCAATTCATTTATTTTATTGTATGATACTACACTATAGCACGAGTTTTAGAAAGAAATCACGAGCAGATAGTGCCAACTTTTCTTTCTGTGTATAATACAATCTTTTCTCTTATTAACTGATAAATTTTTGTTATTAATTTTTTCACCAATAAAATAAAAAAATCACCAAATGACCATTATTATATCAAGTAAGATAAAAAAAAAACTAAATCAAATACATATCATCATTTCTAGAAAAAGGTGTACTTTCTATTAGTATATTTGGAATAAACAAATACATTATTAATACTTATAAAAGAAAAAGTCATAAGCCAAACAAAATGTTATCAATAATATTTTTTAAGCGATTATGGCTATAATCAAAATTTTAGATGAATGTTTGAATTCCCAATACTTCTAATGTGGAGTTTAGCCGGAACAGCCTGTATAAAATAAAACTTAACGTTATAAAAAAATCATTTTATATAATTTGTTTGAGAACTGCTGCAATTACCTTGTGTTTCACAGTAAATAATAATCATAACTAATTTATTATTTTACTATTTGCCATCTGTGTCCATAAATTTCGAAAAATAATAAGGAAAAAGAAATCAAATTGAAAATAATTTAGGTGGAAGTGAAGAACTTCGAATTATAACAGTGTCAAACTATAAAACGACTTTCTTCTTTCATTATTATTGTAGATACGACTTATCTTATTTATTACAACAATGTGATTTTATTTTAACAAAGAAATATTTCCAGTGACCCTCAAACCTTGTACCAATATTTTGGAGTTAAATAACGTTATTAATAATAACAATTCGGTGAGTTTTTTTCTCGATAACACTATTTCTGCACTCTTCTATTACCAGGTCAATTTTCAACTCGAGTACCGTAAACCCCTGTATTATTTAAAAATTATAAATGTGGACATTATAATTTTAAAAAAGTCAACTTTTCCTCTTATTATCATTTCATTTCATTCATTTTATTATAATTCGTAATATTAAAAAAAATACAAATAACACACTACGTAACTAAATTAATATTTTTCTTACACAGCCTACAATCTACAATATCAAAACTTTTTACCCAGAACGCCGTTCCATCCAAAATAAAGATAAACTTTCTTAATTCACCCCTTTATAAAACGTCTCCATAGCAACCCCCAATTCCAGTAACCCATTACTAGCCGCATTCAAAGCAAACTTCTTCCCAACCCTGAAATAAAATTTTCAGCAGTTTCATGAAAATTTGCACAGGTTTTGAGTCACTTTCGAATTTTTTTATGACTTTTGTCGTGTTGCTTCTTCTTATTTTCACATTGTTGCTGTTTTATTTCAGCAAATATAGTCCGCCTCAAGTAAAAGCGGCATGAAATATTCATTCAAAGCTCAAATTTGGTTCAAATATGTATTTTTAAATACGACTTTAGACGCTCGAGACATCTGTTATTCAGTAGTGGAAGTAGCAGAACTAGCGATAAGTCTGGCAGGTGTCACTAGGCAATTTAAAATTGAAGTCGCTTGAGAAATTCATTGGGTAATAAATTCCCCGGAAGCCACCGATTGATTGATTGTTGCCCCGGCAACGATTTCAAGTAAAATGTGACGAATAAACAAACCGGTTTTATATTTTATTTAGTATTTAATTGATAAAACATTCTGTGATTTTTATGTGTACAGTTCGGTCATAATCGTCCAATTCTTTACTTTCTTTAATTTTCTAAAATAATTGTTTATTTATTATTTCAACCGAATTTGTCATAAGTGGATCAAGGATATCTAAGACGAAAAATATTAAACATTTACATGTCATCGAAATAATCAACGTCACAGTGACACTTTTAACATCGATTTAAAAGAATGTTTTACTCCATTTCGTTATTCTAACTCGAGGAAAAACTCTGTATTTTAAGAAAATGCCACATCCGAAAGAAAAAATTTTCGAAATAGATGAACATATCTCGAAACGTTTCGATATACAGAAGAGACTGGGAAAGGGGGCCTATGGTATAGTATGGAAAGCGATAGATCGGAAGACCAAAGATGTCGTAGCAGTAAAGAAAATTTTCGATGCTTTTCGCAACCAAACCGACGCTCAGAGAACATTCAGAGAGATTATGTTCCTTCAATCGCTCAAGAATCATCCAAATATTGTCAAATTGTTTAGCATCCATAGGTAATAGATTTTCTTTTTTATTAATATGAAAGGGGCCGGTGTGCCACGACATAGTTACAGAACCGATTAATAGATTGATCAATACTCGTTCTCTAACAAAAATAATTATTCAAAGTTTATGATTGCACATACACATGCAATTGCAGGGCTGCCAATAACAGTGATATATATCTCGGTTTTGAGTATATGGAAACTGATCTACATAACGTCATCAAGAAGGGTATTTTGAAGGATATCCACAAGAAATACATAATGTACCAACTATTCAAAGCTGTTAAATACATTCATTCGGGGAATGTAATTCACCGAGATCTCAAACCGAGTAACATTCTTTTAGATGTCATGTGCAGGTAAGTAACACTTTCGTAAATTATAAAAAAAGTTAAAAGTGTTTCCAGATGCAAAATAGCTGACTTCGGCCTTGCCCGTTCTTTATATCAAGGTTCTGAAGGCAGTTTGAACGAAACTGATCCAACTTTGACCGACTATGTGGCAACAAGGTGGTACCGAGCTCCTGAAATCCTCATAGCGAATAGGAGGTACACTAAGGGTATAGATATGTGGAGTCTTGGATGTATCTTGGGGGAGATAACGGCAGGAAAACCGATTTTTCCTGGATCTTCAACCGTAAACCAAGTCGAGAAAATCATGGCGACTATACCGACACCATCCCAAGAAGGTTTCACCACTTTTCACCTTTAGTTCATTTTTATTATCACGATTTTTCAGATATCAACCAAGTGTGCGTTTCTGGAGTGGGAATTTCAATGATAAAAAACGCATCGTCGAGCGAGAAAGTACCTCTTATCACACTACTAGGAAAAAATGCGTGTAGATCGTCCATTTCTCTTATAAATAAGTTGCTAGTGTTCAATCCGAATAAAAGACTGACTGCTGAAGAAGCTTTGGAACATGACTACGTGTCACCTTTTCACGACCCCGATCAAGAAATAGTGCTACCACATGACATTGTAATCCCGTTCAATGACGATGTCCGTTTGTCTGTTGAAGACTACAGGAATAAGCTTTACGAGATAATGTCTACGCATCATGTCAGAAGTAATAAGACTTCCAGTAATAAAATAAAACCTTTTACTCCTGAATTGCCGACTAGGATTACCAAAAGCTACGTAAAGTCCGTGTTAAAAGACCCTAAATCCACCGGAACGCAATCTGAACCTAAAATCAACTATCATGCTAAAAGCAATAATCATGCAGTGACCGTGATTAAATCTGACTCCAAAGTGATCACTAAACAGAATATTCAATTTCCCAAGAATCTGAACTGTAGCAGAGTTCATGTAAATGATAGGCAGGTGAGGGAAAATGGAAGGAAAAGGTTTTCGAACGTGAAGAGTGATTACACGACTTATAATAATTATAACCAGTCGCATGGAATTATAACACAGAGTACTCTGATGGAACTGAAAGCGTCTGGCATGCGGTAGCAGCAGATTTACAAAAGGGGAGTTTTGATTTTAACACTTTTACACAGTATTATCTACCGATCACTTTTTGATCAATATTGCATAAGTGTTATGCACTTGTACTTTTCATAAATAAAAAATTTATTATACACTTGCGTGTTATACTTTTTTTGATTGACATCTGACATTACTGATTGTTATTTTTACATATACAGGGTTAGTCACGAGAGGGTTATTTCTGAATTTGTTTTTGCTGCAACCCATTATACATATTGAAACAATTTCTTGATTTCAAATTTTGAAAATAATTATAACTAAATCCACGATAGCTGTTATTAGTCTTGTCTCTTTGACATTAAAGCAAAAAAATCATCTCTCAAACGATGCGACATGTTTTGTTATCGATTACCAACTGACTAGGCGCATGTTTAGAAGTCGATGGTAGACACTTCAAACACATTTTACATTAACTTAACTTGTTAATTTATTTGTTGGATTTTGATTAAATAAAGGTTATCTCTCAATCTGACATTTCTGGCAAATCTATCCAACTTACTTTAATTTGTAATTTAAAAGAAATAACATATTTAATTTAGCAGTTAGTGAGATTGGTATTGTTGGTTGCGGCAAAAAAAAATTCAGAAGTAACCCTCCCGTGAATAACCCTGTAGAATTAGTTGACGCTGATGAGTGATGACAATTGACTACAAAATTACACGAGGAAAATTTAAAAATCATCTCAAAGTTTGTCTCAAAGTGCATTTAATTTCCTTATTTTGATCTGCCCACCCGGTAGTTTTAAATTGGAGATCCCATGTAAATTTGTCTCTGAAAAGTTAAGATAGAAAACGCCAAAAATTGACGACAAATTACCTAGTCCAGTTACCTAGCAGATAATGTAAAATTATAAATATCTCCCCTCCTGGAAATGATTGCCACAGAATTTTGAAAACATAGTAAATTCATGTTTTTCAAGTTGTAGATTTTAGAATTACAAGTAAATACATAAATATACAGTATGTTATTGAAATGCGTTAAGAAACTTTAAATGGTGACAAAACTCATCAAAACAAATTACTTCTATACAGGGTGTTTACAGTCTTGGAGTTGAAAATTGACCTAGTAATAGAAGAGTACAGAAATACTGTAACCGAGAAAAAAACTTACACAATTGTTATTATCAAGAATGTTATTTCACTCCAAAATATTGGTACACGGTTTGAGGGTCACTGGAATTATTTCCTTGTTCAGATAAAATTGTATTGTTGCAACAGATAAAAAATCGTATCCATGACAATGAAAGAGAAAAGTCACTTTATAGTTTTGACACTGTCATCATTTTGATTTGCTTTTGCTTTAGTTTTTATCAAAATTCGAAAATTTTCTGTTTAATCTCTTTCAGCAAATGGTTTCCAATAGGTTTGATTCGTTTTTCTTAATTTTTCTCCAAATTTATGAACATGTATGGCAAAATATTAAATTAATAAATTGGTTGTCGTGATTATGATATACGGTTATGATACGGTGAAACACAAGGTAATGATACTAATAGCCATTGTTGCAGACGAAGCAGCAGTTCTTAAACAAATAGTGTAAAATTAATAATTTCCTTTAACAACGTGTATTTTTGTATTATATAGCGTATTAGTTTTCTTCTACCGTAAATATCCTCTCATTTAAATTTTAACCTCAAGACCATAAACACCCTGTATTTACCATTTTTTCGAAAACTCAAATTTATACTTACATTTATTTTTACAGTATTTCCGTGTCATCGAATCGTTTATGGATGGCACGGTACGCAAAAAAGTAAATACGGCAAAAACCCAGGCAGATAGGTCTTGCAAAAACATACTGACACAATTTAGTCACGTCCTTCACCTGCATGCGGCCGTGTTTACAATTTATTGGCAAGTGAATTTCCCGTAATTATCGTCAAAAATGGTGCAGTACACTAATCCGGAGTTAACAGACATGGTGCTGATCTACGGGGAAGCTTTATCGAATGCTGCTGGAGAGATTTCGCGGTCGCCAAGTTCAAATTTAGAAAATCGGTGGATAGGTCGTAATGGACCAGTTTTATGGCCAGCTCGTTCACCGGACTTAAATCCTTCTGACTTTTTTCTATGGGACCATTTAAAACAGATTGTGTATGAGACTCCAGTTAACACCTTCGAAGAATTAACTGTTCGTGTGAATAATGCTGCCGAGTCAATTCGACGAAATTCCGACATGTTGGTGAAAACTATGGCTCGAAGGGCACAAGCATACATCGATAACGGAGGGCGTCATTTCGAACATTTAATTTGAAGGTTAGTGCCCTTGATCAAGTGTGGTGCGTAACTTGGAATGTCACTCACACTTACTACGAATAAAAAATTGGTTTTTGCTTGGCTATCTAAGTTTTTATCTTCTTTCGCTTTTAATGTACGCAGGGAGGCATTGGCGGGTACTAGAATTTACGTTCAAACTATTTAAAATTTTATCTGGGTTTAAAAACATTTTTCGAAAAAATGGTAGACAGCAAAGTAATTTGTTTTGATGAGTTCTATCACCGTTTAAATTTTCTTAATGCATTTCAATAACATACTTCTATATGTTTCAGAACTTGCGCCCCAGAGAAAAATGCCAAGTAAGATAAGATACCAGGAACATGGAAAAAATGTTTCAAAAATTCTATCTGTCGAAGAATTTGACCCTTTTTGTGTCTATTTAATATTAGCGATGATCTTTTATATGTTTTTCATAATTATTCAGTAAAGGTACAAAAACTTTACCAGTAAAAGTCACAAATAACCTTAAACATAGTACAAATTTAGGATATAGCTTCCTTGTTTCCTCTTCTAACAGTTTGCAACAAAAAACATGGGAAACTACTTTTCTAACTGCACAGATACATTTTTGGGACAAAGTACCGCACGATGAGTTAATTGATCATAACATTAAAATCTATGTCCCCAAACACATGCTCTATTAGAGCTTCCAGACTATAAACCAAATATTGTTGAGGTATTTCAATTAAATCTTCTGTAACACCAAAATGAACATCATTCATTTTCGCTGTTGCAACAGTGTATATCAAATAAGTACCTTAACTTACAGGTAAATGAACAAAAACACGATTAGCCCGTCACACCAAACTTTTATTTAAACATAACGCGTTTCAACCACAAAGTGGTCATCCTCAGGTGAGAATAACACAGGTACATAACTAAATCAGCAGGTGTGACAGTCAACAACTTTTTTCACAATTCTGCACAACACACATACTACCTACACCGCACAGCATATTTTACAGGTAAAGACACGTTGAGTATTTAGGATAGATTAAACACATAGTATTTAGGATAGATTAAGATTATTATACGTTGTACCATTTCAATCGCCATTCTGTCAGTTTTCATGTTTTAAAGTGAAACTTTTATACCATCGCCTCAAAATTTTTCGTCCATCTATCGCATGTCGCATTACAGCGATTTTCGTTTGCAATGTTGAAGAATTTTAGCTCTAAACATGTCATTAGGATCTACTTGCTACACAGATTCGTCTTTTACACAGAAATCAAATACTATAATCGATAAGTAAGCATACAACATTACAATTTAAAAGTCATGAATATATTGAAATGGCACATGGCAAACACAAAAATTTTGCCCCCAAAATTCTTATCAATTCTTATCCATTAAGCATCGTAGATATCGGTTTAGAAATGTTGCTGCCATTCCAGGCCACGCCATAGCGATGTAGGTCGTTCTCTTGTCACATGTTATAAAGATACGTTATACCTAAAGATAAATACCTCCTGGATCATTCACATAAAAAAAAAATATTTGCAGTATTACCCGTTTGAATGTACTCGTACTCTTGTAAAGCAGCTACTATTGCATTATATGCTACCACTTGGTCACGATTTAAAAGGGCAACTGCTTCGTCAATTTCTCGATTGTCGTCCTTTGCGCTTGTGTTTCTTCCAATATTTTCGATAAAATCAGCAAAGATAAGTGGCACTAGTCGCAAAAGATTTTCTTCTAGTGTGTTTTCAGGTAATCCTAAGTCTTGCATGGATGGAATTGTTGGCAAAGTGCTTCGTTGTGAGTACATTTTTATGGGGCGCGAGTTCTGTGAAACACCTGTTGTAACGTGATGTGATCGAGGATGGGAAAGGGCGTGCTTGCACTACCAGTTCTAGTGGGAGACTGACTTTATTTACAAGCTAATACAATATAGGCAACCAACTGTACATCCCCCTTTTTTACAATAATTATTAACTACAAGAATTATAAACTTAATCTTTTAGGTCGCTTGATTGGCCGACCAAATGACGAAACAACATTTTCTCTGTTTTCTGTTTCTGATGTTGTTTCGTACTCACTCGATTCAGTTGTTTCACTGTCACTTGTTTCACTATTTTCACTGTCACTATCACGTGGATTGTCTATTCTCTCTTCTTCCCTTTCATTGTTGACGACATCGTTATGTATGTCCTTATCTGTGTTATTATCGTCTATTTCTATGTAACATTTCCCAAGTGGTTGTTCCGTGTATTTCTCACTTCGAACAACACTATCTCGAGGTGAAAACAAAGAATTGCTTAACGGTTTTATAAATTTTCTATTTCTTACTAGAATTGAATTATTCTTTGTTTTTACCTTGTAACATCTGTTTCTGAATTTTTCTAAAATTATTCCAGGAATCCATACGTCATTTGGCTTTGTTTGAACATATATACTTTAGCATTTATTTCTAATTCTTTTAAGTCTTTTTTAAATTTAATAAACTTATTTTTTATTATCAATTCTGTGAACCATTGTTCCTGTTTCTGCCGTATTTCGCCTAACTTTATTGAACCAACAAAGAAATTATTTTTAATTGCGGACTCGTTAACTTCATGGACACTATTTTTATTTTTACAAACTGACTGAAAATGATTTCTTTTTTTACACCAATTACAGATTTTACCAAATGCCGGACATTTATTTATAGCATGATTTGTACCACACTTTTTACAATTATTAATCATTTTATTTACGTTACCACCGACGGCGTTCGCTGACGTTGTCGTTATAACTGTCGGTGCAGGTTTTCTCGTCTTTTTGGCACGAACCTCTTCAATTTCCATTCCAACACTTCTTTCGGACTCCCTCGCCTCGATTGCTCCACTTCTTTCTTTAGAGGTTTCTATAATTGTGCATAATTCTATTGCTTTGTCTAGACTTAATGTGTCATGCTGTAGCAATTTTTCTCTCATCAAGTTGGCGTTTGGATTGTTAACCCCACATATTATCATGGATTTGATGAGTTCTTCCTTTAGGTCTCCTAACTTGCATTTCATCGCCCTGCCGATTGACTAAATTAGAAGGCGGCTTTACAAGAATCCACTTGTTATCGAACAGTGTAATTCAGTGGTTAAGCAAAATTAACAGTTTATAAAGATGGTTGTGAGTTTTGCAGCTGGGTAATTATACTGTACTAATGCAAATTGAGAATCTATATATATATATCGCCCTGCTTTTCAATTCCGTGATAAATTGTTCTAAGCTTTGCTGTGGTTGTTGTCTGTACGCGAAGAATTTATAACGTTCGTACGACAGGTTTTCCTTAGGCAAAAAATGAGCTTCAAATTTCTCCAACAGTGGCTGCAGTTGATTTTTTTCTTCTTCTTCGAACATGAAGGTCGTGTAAATTTTGAATCCTTCCTCTCCGATGTAATGAAGAAGTTGAGCGCACTGTGTTGCCTGGTCTTTTTTGGAAACTTCACTTGCTATTAGATAATTTTCAAATCTTGCTTTCCACAGTCTCCAATTTTCCGCGTTGTTTCCTGTGGTACTCATTGGAGCTATTCCTCGATTGTCACCCATTTTAATTTAATTTAGTTTAATTTACTGACTGCGATTTAATTTAGATTACTGACTGCGCCATGTATCGTGATGTGATCGAAGATAGGAAAGGGCGTGCTTTCAGTGCCAGTTCTAGTGGGAGACCTGTATTTAGATATGACATTTTGTATTTCATTGTCAATTAATGTTGGTAATTTTCATGTAATTTTTAAATTTATTGAAACTTAACAAATACTAATTTCGCAATAACAAAGACAATACGCTCTATTAGTGTGACGTCAGCAAGGTACGTGACTGTACCTTTGAAGCTAAACAAATAAAAGTTTATTTCTTGAATCCTGGACGTGTAGGGAGATTGTTTCTAAGGAAATAGTTGCTATGAAAAATGTGTGTCGTTTCGTAATGGTTTTAACAATTGTAGTCAACATTTCTGTAATTTAATCTGTTCTAACCTCACTTTCTGTGTACTTCAAAAATATGTGTACAGCGTTGCCAGAATGTTGCAAACGACAGGAGTGGATAGGTCGTACCAAAACAAAACAAAATAAAATATATTAACATTCACATAATGTGTATTTGCCTGAGAATATAAATTATTATTTGTTTGCAAGTAAATATAAATATCTAGTAAAAAAAATCGGGTATCAATTTGGTACTCTAGTATCACAACTGGCAACACTGTATGTTTAGCTTCAGTACAGTCGCGTCTGTGACGTCACCTCTAATAGCCCGTATACGCGCTATTAGTCGTGAAGTCACAGACGAGACTGTACTCAAGCTAAACATGCAGTTGTGATATTGTACATAATAGTATCAAATTGATACAGTCCGATCAAAAAGTCTTCCTATCAAGTATCTAGGCGTTCTAGTTGAGGACGTATGTTGCATGGTAGTTCGTATGTTATCTAGATGTCAAAAAATTATTTTATAAAAATTAAAACATTGAGCTAATTAAATTGAATTATTCTATGAAATGTCTCAAAACAAACTAAAATGAGATTTTGTTGGTGTTTATTCATAAAAATCGTTCACCACGGTTTCCTGTCATAATTTACATAACAAATATTTTGACATTTCTCATTTGTCATTGTGACCTTTTTTCTTCCACAGACATACGTTTTAAATTTCTACGCTTGCTTTTTGACTTTTTGATCGCACTGTACTACGACACCGCTTTTTAGGAAACCTAAGTTTAAAAAAAGCATTGCTAACAAAGTATGCTTATTTGTTTAGCTTCAAAGGTACAGTCACGTACCTTACTGACGTCACACTAATAGCGCCTATTTCAATCAAGCCAAACATTTATTTCTTGTAAATTTGTTCAACCTTGACTTGCCCATATCAATTTATTATCTCCGCCTCTGGTTTGGCGTCGTTCTTTGCGCATGCGTTAGCAATTAATAAAGAGAGGGAAATCTGCTTCGAGAACCCGCCACAGCGCACAATAGAGCGCAACGCTGGAAAGGAACACAGGAGGCTTGCGTTCGCCATCAAAATGGCCGCAAGTGACAGTAAAGCTCCGCTTAGAACAGTGAAAAGAGTGCAGTTTGGCATATTAAGTCCAGATGAAATAGTAAGTAAACGACTCGTTAGATGGTCAGGTACATTTTGGTATAAAAATTATCTCGCAAAAATAACAAATAAGCCTCAAAAACTTAAATTGGATCCATGATTGGGAAACCATCACTGTTGTATCCTACCTTATTTATAAATAAGTTCATATTTACAGTTCCCACTGAAAATTCGATTTTGATGCGTGGTAGACACTTCATAATGTTTCAAATCCACGAAAATTCAACTGTGACCATTATAAAAAAATGTAACTTAACGAAATTTTTCCCAAACATGACGTATGGAATGTTGTTACTACCAACCTGTAGAAATTAAAATCACTAAGTTGGCGCGAATTTTAAATTATTATTTTTTTTGTTCGTAGCGTCGTATGTCCGTCACTGAGGGCGGCATCCGTTTCCCAGAGACCATGGAAGCGGGCCGTCCTAAAATGGGGGGTCTTATGGACCCAAGACAGGGCGTCATCGATCGTCATTCCCGATGCCAGACTTGTGCAGGCAACATGACTGAATGTCCTGGACATTTTGGACACATTGATTTAGCCAAACCCGTTTTCCACGTTGGTTTTATAACAAAAACTATAAAAACGCTTCGATGCGTTTGCTTTTACTGCAGTAAATTACTTGTAAGCCCCAATAATCCTAAAATTAAGGAGGTTGTGATGAAATCAAAAGGACAACCTAGAAAAAGATTAGCATTCGTTTATGATCTCTGTAAAGGGAAAAACATTTGTGAGGGCGGTGATGAAATGGATGTAGGGAAAGAAGGGGAAGACCCCAATCAAGGTTGGTAGAAATTGCTTGCTTTATATTCATTTTTTAATCAATCTTGATTTTTAGCAAAGAAACAAGGACATGGTGGCTGCGGGCGCTATCAACCAAACATCAGAAGAACAGGACTTGATTTAACAGCTGAGTGGAAACATTTAAACGAAGATTCACAAGAAAGGAAAATTGCTTTATCAGCAGAAAGAGTATGGGAAATACTAAAACATATCACAGGTAAAATCAATGAAAATTATGATAATAGTTGTTAATACAGTTTATTATTGCAGATGAAGAGTGTTTTATCTTGGGTATGGATCCTAAATTCGCGCGTCCTGATTGGATGATTGTCACAGTGTTGCCAGTTCCACCACTTCCAGTACGCCCAGCTGTGGTTATGTACGGCTCAGCGCGAAATCAGGATGATTTGACACACAAATTAGCTGATATTATTAAAGCAAATAATGAACTACAGAAAAACGAAGCTGCCGGAGCTGCTGCTCACGTGATCGCAGAAAATATAAAAATGTTGCAGTTTCACGTGGCAACATTAGTCGATAATGACATGCCGGGAATGCCTAGGTAAATAAATAAACACTTACTTTATTTCATTATTACATTATAATTTTTTAAGGGCAATGCAGAAATCGGGAAAGCCTCTCAAAGCCATCAAATCTCGTCTTAAAGGCAAGGAAGGTCGTATCCGTGGTAATCTTATGGGTAAACGTGTGGACTTCTCAGCTCGTACCGTCATCACCCCTGACCCTAATCTGCGTATCGATCAAGTCGGAGTACCTCGTAGTATCGCCCAAAATTTAACATTTCCAGAAATCGTAACGCCGTTCAATTTCGACAAAATGTCTGAACTAGTCCAAAGAGGCAATTCGCAATATCCGGGAGCGAAATATATAATCCGCGATAACGGAGAGAGAATAGATTTAAGATTTCATCCAAAATCTTCTGATTTACATTTACAATGCGGTTACAAAGTTGAAAGACACATCCGAGATGGCGATCTGGTCATTTTCAACCGTCAACCTACGTTACACAAAATGAGTATGATGGGACACAGAGTCAAAGTATTGCCTTGGTCAACATTCCGCATGAACTTATCGTGTACTTCGCCTTACAATGCCGATTTTGACGGCGATGAAATGAACCTTCATGTTCCTCAAAGTATGGAGACGAGGGCCGAAGTCGAAAATTTACATATTACACCGAGACAAATTATTACTCCACAAGCAAATAAACCCGTCATGGGTATCGTACAGGACACACTCACGGCTATCAGGAAGATGACAAAAAGGGACGTTTTTATAGAAAAAGAACAAATGATGAATTTATTGATGTTTTTGCCCATTTGGGATGGCAAAATGCCAAGACCGGCCATTTTAAAACCTAAGCCATTATGGACGGGAAAACAAATTTTCTCGTTGATTATTCCCGGAAACGTTAACATGATTAGAACACACTCTACACATCCAGATGATGAAGATGATGGACCGAATAAATGGATTTCACCTGGAGATACTAAAGTTATGGTGGAACATGGAGAGTTGGTTATGGGGATTTTGTGTAAGAGGACATTGGGTACTTCAGCCGGATCTTTGCTTCATATTTGTATGTTGGAGTTGGGACACGAGGTCTGTGGCCGGTTTTATGGTAACATTCAGACTGTCGTCAACAACTGGCTTTTGCTTGAAGGTACAGATACTTTTTGTGTTAAAAAATGAGTGATAAACATTCTTATATTTCCACAGGTCACAGTATTGGTATTGGTGACACTATTGCCGATCCACAAACCTACTTAGAGATTCAGAAAGCCATCAAAAAAGCCAAAGAGGATGTCATAGAAGTTATCCAGAAAGCACATAATATGGAACTTGAACCAACTCCGGGTAACACGTTACGACAAACATTCGAAAATCAAGTCAACAGGATTCTAAATGATGCTCGTGACAAAACTGGAGGTTCCGCTAAGAAATCTTTAACTGAATACAATAACCTAAAGGCTATGGTCGTGTCTGGTTCTAAAGGTTCTAACATTAATATCTCCCAAGTTATTGCTTGTGTAGGTCAACAAAACGTCGAAGGTAAACGAATTCCTTTCGGTTTTCGCAAACGCACTCTCCCTCACTTCATCAAAGACGACTACGGTCCCGAGTCTCGTGGTTTCGTTGAAAATTCATACCTGGCCGGTTTAACCCCGTCCGAATTTTATTTCCACGCCATGGGAGGTCGCGAAGGTCTTATCGATACTGCGGTTAAAACCGCTGAAACTGGTTACATCCAACGCCGTCTCATCAAGGCTATGGAATCTGTAATGGTGAATTATGACGGAACTGTTCGTAACTCAGTCGGTCAACTCATCCAGTTACGTTATGGAGAAGACGGTCTTTGTGGAGAAATGGTCGAATTTCAAACACTTCCTACTGTGAAACTGTCAAATAAGGCATTTGAACGTAAATTCAGATTTGATCCGAGTAACGAGAGATATTTAAGACGAGTATTCACTGAAGAAGTGATTAAAGATTTGATGGGTTCTGGTGAAGTCATCTCCGAGTTGGAAACCGAATGGGAACAACTACAAAAAGACAGAGAAGCTTTGCGTCAGATTTTCCCCAGTGGTGAATCTAAGGTTGTACTTCCGTGCAACTTGCAACGTATGATCTGGAACGTTCAAAAGATTTTCCATATTAATAAGAGGGCACCGACGGATTTATCACCCTTGAGGGTTATTCAAGGAGTCCGTGAGCTTTTAAATAAATGTGTCATCGTAGCTGGCGAAGACAGACTTTCGAAACAAGCCAACGAAAACGCCACACTTCTGTTCCAATGTTTAGTCAGATCGACTCTTTGCACTAAATGTGTGTCTGAAGAATTTAGATTAAGTACAGAGGCATTTGAATGGCTAATTGGTGAGATTGAGACTCGATTCCAACAAGCACAAGTCAATCCGGGCGAAATGGTCGGTGCTTTGGCTGCACAATCACTCGGCGAACCTGCCACTCAGATGACACTCAACACTTTCCACTTTGCTGGTGTATCTTCAAAGAACGTAACATTGGGTGTGCCACGTTTAAAGGAAATCATCAACATATCGAAAAAACCGAAAGCGCCTTCTTTGACAGTGTTTCTAACCGGTGCTGCGGCCAGAGATGCCGAAAAAGCCAAAAACGTTTTGTGTAGATTGGAACATACAACGCTAAGAAAAGTTACCGCAAACACTGCCATCTATTACGATCCTGATCCCCAGAATACCGTTATTCCAGAGGATCAAGAGTTTGTTAATGTTTACTACGAAATGCCCGACTTTGATCCGACTCGGATCTCGCCTTGGCTGTTACGTATTGAATTGGACAGGAAAAGAATGACTGATAAGAAACTGACTATGGAACAGATCGCTGAAAAAATCAATGCTGGGTTTGGAGACGATTTAAACTGCATTTTCAACGATGATAACGCCGAAAAATTGGTGTTACGTATCCGTATTATGAATAGTGACGACGGTAAATTTGGAGATGGCGCTGATGAGGATGTCGACAAGATGGACGACGATATGTTTCTGAGGTGTATTGAAGCTAATATGTTGAGTGACATGACATTGCAAGGTATTGAAGCCATCTCAAAAGTCTACATGCACTTGCCCCAAAACGATTCAAAGAAGAGAATTGTAATCACAGAAACTGGAGAATTCAAAGCCATTGCAGAATGGTTGCTCGAAACTGACGGAACAAGTATGATGAAAGTTCTATCTGAAAGAGACGTAGATCCTGTTAGAACCTTTTCTAACGACATTTGTGAAATTTTCTCTGTACTTGGTATAGAAGCCGTACGTAAATCAGTCGAAAAAGAAATGAACGCTGTTCTTCAATTCTATGGTCTATACGTAAACTATCGCCACCTTGCCTTGCTTTGTGACGTAATGACTGCAAAAGGTCATCTTATGGCCATTACACGTCACGGGATTAATAGACAAGACACTGGGGCTCTTATGAGATGTTCTTTTGAAGAAACAGTAGATGTTTTGATGGACGCAGCCTCTCACGCTGAAGTCGATCCAATGAGAGGAGTATCGGAAAATATCATTATGGGTCAATTACCACGAATGGGTACTGGTTGCTTCGATTTATTACTTGATGCTGAGAAGTGTAAGATGGGGATTCCCATACCGCAAGCTCATGGAGCTGACATTATGGCATCAGGCATGTTCTTCGGATCTGCTGCGACACCAAGTATGAGTCCTGGAGCCGCAATGACACCATGGAATCAAGGGGCGACGCCCTATGTGGGCAGTGCTTGGTCTCCACATAGTAAGTTTTTATTTTGCCTATATTGGTCAGTACTTGCTATGATGACAACTACCGATAATAGTAATTTTGATTTCACTTTTTATAATGAGGAAATTTTCATTTTTTAAAACAATCTCAGTGATAATTAAAGCTCGGATTATATGCAAAATGCAGATTTGTTATTAATAGGTATATCAACAAAATTGTAAGTTTTCTATGCATATCTAATGATTTTTAATTAAAATAAGCCAAATAAAAAATGCATATTTTGCATATTTTGCATATTTTGGCAACTTGGTGCATATTTTAGGAAATATTGCATATTTGTGCATATTTTCTTCAAATTAAAAATTTCAGTTCAAGTTAAAAATTGGACAGTTTATGAAAAATGATCCGATTACATAATATTTTAAAGAGAAAATAACCGATAATTCGTAAGCCAAACTCAAAAAATTAATACCCTGCTGAGTGTTTCCTTTTTTAATTGTATTGAACCAAGAGGTTTGTTTTTAAATCATTTGTTTCCAAAAAATAATAATTAATATAAATTAAAGTAATATAAAAAATGATCGTATTTTAAGAACAAAATTTTGTTTTGTTTTTGTGTTATTTGATTTTTGTTGTCTAAATTGCGATATACACATGTAAAAAAATAATTTAATACAAAGTAGATAGTTAATCCCTTAGATCATAACCTTCATGAAAAAAATGTTTTTTTTGGTGGGTTCCCATTTAAAAAAAAAATATTTTTGTAAAACTCAAAAACAAAATAAAAATTTCGAAAAATTTGATTTTTGATAAAACATCACATATTTGTAGAACTTTATAATTCATCAATTAGTTTTTTCAAAAAATAAATACTTTAAGCAAAAAACGTTTGACTTTTTATTGTTCAAAATTTTACACATCGATGCATATTTGGCATATATTGGAGCATATTTCTTAATATTTTGTGCATATATATGCGCATATTTTACGATTTTTTCGTGCATATAATCCGAGCCTTAGTGATAATAATAGAGTACAAATCAAAAAAAAATAAATAAAACAAACCGTAAAAGAATATAACATTAATTTAAAAAATTATTCCTTTACAATGAAAAAATTCTTTCGCATATGTTTTTTTTTTTACTGACTTTCAGCGTTGGAATACATAAGTTAAAAAATAATAATTAAAAAATAATTTTGAACACGTAGTATTGTATGAAATTGGAAATTTGCCATTACTATAAAGATTGAGATAGAGATATATAAAAAATGAGATAAATATGCATTTTTGCAGTCGGCGGTCTACTAATCTATTTACATTTTTATTAGATTTAATGGGAAGTGGTATGACACCTGGAGGACCAGCATTTTCACCCTCTGCCGCTTCAGACGCCTCCGGAATGTCCCCTGGCTACGGCGCTTGGTCTCCAACTCCTCAATCTCCAGCCATGTCACCATTTATGGCCTCACCTCATGGCCAATCTCCCTCATACAGTCCTTCAAGTCCCTCATTCCAACCGACGTCACCATCCATGACACCCGTATCTCCTGGGTATTCCCCGACATCTCCCGGATATTCCCCAACGAGTCCAAATTACAGCCCCACTTCTCCAAGTTATTCCCCGACAAGTCCCAGCTACAGTCCCACATCTCCTTCATACTCGCCAACATCTCCAAGTTACTCACCAACAAGTCCGAGTTACAGTCCCACAAGTCCAAGTTATTCGCCTACATCGCCAAGTTACAGTCCAACATCTCCGAGTTATTCACCTACGAGTCCGAGTTACAGTCCGACTTCACCGAGTTACTCGCCTACAAGTCCGAGCTACAGTCCAACATCTCCAAGTTACTCGCCGACAAGTCCGAGTTACAGTCCTACGAGTCCAAGTTACTCGCCCACGAGTCCAAGTTACTCGCCCACGAGTCCGAGTTATTCACCCACAAGTCCGAGTTACAGTCCTTCGTCTCCACGATACACTCCAGCTTCACCGAGTTACTCGCCGACGTCTCCGAGTTATTCTCCTTCGTCACCACAGTACTCCCCTGCGTCTCCAAGTTACTCTCCGTCGTCACCTAAATATTCACCCACGTCTCCTAGCTATTCTCCGACGTCTCCTTCATTCGCAGGTGGAAGTCCGCAGTATTCTCCCACTTCTCCGAGTTACTCACCCACATCTCCCAATTATTCACCATCGAGTCCACAACATACACCAGCTGCAAGTTCACGGTACTCACCGTCGTCACCTAATTATTCACCAAGTTCGCCAAGTTATTCACCGACGTCTCCTCAATATTCACCACACAGTACAAAGTATTCACCTACTTCGCCTACTTACACACCGACGTCGCCGAGTTATTCACCAGCTTCTCCAGCGTATTCACCTCAACCACCGAGGTATTCGCCGTCGAGTCCCAGCTATTCACCCACGAGTCCTAGTCAGGATCAAGACTAGTGATTTTAAAGTGGTCATTTATACTTTTTTAACGTTATATTTAGCTATTTGTTTGGGTTATTTATACTTTGGAGTAAGTTTTTATAGTGACAGAACTACTGTAAGTAAAAGACTGTATTTTAAAAAATTGTTTATGATTTTTTCTTTATTTGAGAGTCTCTTGTATATAGATATATTTTATTATGTCATACATGTTAAATTTATTCAATAAAAGTTGAATACATAACTTGGAGATAATTGATCCTTTCCAAAATACCATGTGAGCATGCCCAGAGATCGTATCAGGAAGGATGAGCACGATTTTCTTCTCCAATAATTTCCCGATTTAGATAAAACAGAAAGGTTATGGTGATTAGATAATGGGTTGCAGAAGAAAAAATTGCTCATACTACAATCGACGGGTATGTCATAAGCATCCTTCAGTCTTGCAATAATCCTTTTATTTGTATTCACTTATTCAGACAGAAGATTACGACTCGAATGTACCGAGTTATTACGACTCCTGGTCATCGAAGTACTATTCATATTATTCTCAATATGAACGTCCAATTTCCCCCCTTGACTCACCCTTACTGACACCATACAGTCCGTCTCCACCTCCTTACCACCCGTCATATCGAATACCTTCTCCAATCTTCGCCCGCAAATCCCCCTCTCCCAGTTGTTTAGACTCCCCGACCACTCCCCCGCATTCTTGGTCTCCCAAGTATTCCCCAATTTTACCGATTCCCTCCCCGTCTCCCCCATACAGTCCTTTATCACTTCGCAGTCGCAGACCTTCGTCTCCAGTTTCTCTCCCGCCATCTCCCTACTACTCACGCTCTTCCTCCACTTATACTTTTTCTTCACGCACTTCTTGCGATTATCCCACACCCTCCCCAACGCGTTATTCGCCTAGAGATTACACTTACTTATCTCCTGAATACTCACCAGTTTATTCCCCAACATTCTCCCAAGAGGAAATGTTAACGTCACCAGACTATTCCCCAACAATTCCCAAATATCTTCCAAGGAATATAAATAAATCAAGATATAGAACAGAATCTCCAGCTTATTATCCCCTTTATACTCCGTCATCTCCAGTGTATTCTCCCATACATTCAAGAAGAAATTGCATTGAAGATACAGCACAGTCTCCATTCTATTCGTCGAGAAGCTCGGTATTTTTTCCAACATCGCCATCATTTTCGTCGACAACTTATCCAAGCTCAGGATGAATTTGTTAAAGTTGTTCTTATTGCTGTTACTTAATTGTTACACATGCACAGCTGTTTGACCCAATAAATTGAAAAAAGTGTTTAGCTTTTTTATTTAAAAATTTGCGCTTTTTTGATAAAAGGCACCAACCTAAACATTACAAATGTTACTAAAAACGTATTAAGAAACTGTATTTTAGTAAATAAATCGATTGGTATTGCTGTTAACCACGTGGTAAATCCAGCAGTTGTCAGTTTTTTGGGTTAGGTGATTTTAAAATTCTGGCTCTAATTTATTTTAATATACGAACATTATATAAAATGGGGCGCCGAAAACCTGGTTTTAGGAAAAATCACCAGTTTTCCAACCAAAAACAAGTAAGTTAAAGTAATTACTAGGAATCTTTATAACATTTAATTATTTACTGAAACTAGGAGGGGCAAAGCAGTGTAGACACTCGCAAAGCTTACAACGACATAATAAAAGAAAATGATAAGTTTGTAAAATATTACGAAGTAAGTAACATTAGGAAAGAAAAATACAATTTAATTGAAGCTTATTCAAGGTCCAAAACGTATGCAAGAAAGAGGAATATGATGCGTTTATAACTAGTTTAAAGACAGACTTACCGGCGACTTTTCGCATAACTGGGTCTAAGGGAGAAGCTCATAAAATGTTAGAGATTGTCCAAGGCCAGTTTATTAAGGATTGTTTAAATCAGGGCGACTATGAAGGGAAGCCTCCAAACATATTCCCTCTGCCGTGGTATCCAAATAAGTTAGCGTGGCAATTGGAACTGACACGGAAAGATATTAGACGGTGTGAGGCCTATTACAAATTACACAATTTTTTAATTTCTGAAACGGAGCATGGAACAATTTCACGTCAGGAGACAGTCAGCATGATACCACCTTTATTATTGGACGTCCAACCACATCATAAAGTAATTAATGATAATTAAATGTTGCAAATTGTGATAGGTGATAGGTTTTAGACATGTGCGCCGCCCCTGGGTCGAAAACAGCACAACTTTTGGAAATGTTACACGCAAATGATGATCCAATTCCCTCAGGCTACGTTATCGCAAATGATGTTGATAACAAGAGGTGTTATATGTTGGTCCACCAAGCTAAAAGATTGAATTCGCCTTGTGTGGCTATAATAAACCATGATAGTGCGATTTTACCAAACTTATCAGCGTCTTTACCTGATGGATCAGTTGAACAAGTCCAGTTTGATAGGGTTTTATGCGACGTTCCATGCTCTGGAGATGGGACTTTGCGAAAAAATCCCGATATTTGGATGAAATGGACTCCCGCAAATGGGTTAAATTTACACGGGTATAATTTCCGGATGTTTTGTTTGTATTTTTTAAATAATTGTGTTACAGAATTCAGTCCAGAATTTTGAGAAGGGGGGCTGAATTGTTGACAGTAGGGGGGCGATTAGTTTACTCAACTTGTTCAATAAACCCAATTGAGAACGAAGCTGTGATTCATAGATTATTATCAGAGACGGATGGAGCACTTCAATTGGTTGATGTCAGTAATTCTTTACCTGGACTCAAATATGTCCCAGGTTTGTAATTAAATTAAAATCAACTTTAGAATTCAATTGATGATTTTAGGTTTGGAGAACTGGCTAGTGGGGAGCAGAAATTTGGAATTTTATTCATCTTTCGAAGCAGTAGATGAGAAATGGAAGACGACAATAAGGCCACAAATGTTTCCTCCCAAGCCCGAGGATAAACATTTGTATAATTTGCACAAATGGTAACAAGTACATATTTTTTGTTTCTATTTTATAATTGTTATTGCTTACAGTATGCGTATTTTGCCACACCATCAAAACACAGGAGCCTTCTTCGTTGCTGTTCTTGAAAAACTCAAACCTCTTAGCTCTAAAGAAAAATCTTTCAAAACGAACGAGGTCTCCGATACTAATACTAACAACAAACGCGAAAATGAGGATAATTTGCCACAAAATCAGCGGAAGAAACGCCGGAAAGAAGGCTACAGGGAAGATCCTTTTGTTTTCTTTAAAGAGGAAGAATCAGTTTGGAATGACATCAAATCATTTTATGAAATTTCGGACGATTTCGATTCAAAATCTCTATTGACGCGTTGTCATGTCGGTAAAAAAAAGAACATTTACTTAACATCGAATGCAGTCCGCGATTTGGTTATACAAAATCAGACTGTCATTAAATTTATTAACACGGGTGTTAAGGCCTTTGTTCGTTGTGATAATAAAAACATGAAATGTGCCTTCAGGATTGCAAACGATGGACTTGAAAGTATTTATCCTTACATTGGAGATAGTAGAAAGGTAGACATTCCAAAAGAGGATTTGATTACATTGTTGTTGAATGATAATCCAGAGAAGTCACCACCCATTACGTCATTGTCTGAAATTGTGCAGAAGCAAGTTGAACATCTTAGTAAGTTTCTATAAATATGGAAAAGTTAAGCTAAAACAAATATTTTGTTATTGCAGGTCCTGGAAGTTGCGTTTTAATTTATAAAGAAGAAATTGAGGGTAGTGAAGTTCCTTTAATTATTCATATCAGTGGTTGGAGGGGCACTACTTCTTTGAGGTGTTACATGTCGCAACACAGCACAGTTCATCTTCTTCGGCTTTTAGGAGGCGATATCTCCAAATATGGTATTTTAATTTTTTGAAATAACGAAATTTTAACGTGAATTGCGATTTGATAAGATGCACCTATACAGGCTGTTCCGTCTAAACCCCACATTAGAACTATTGGGAGTTCGAATAATCGTATTTATTTGAAAATTGGTACATAGTCATAAACCATTAAGTCCTCCTAAATGAAAATATTTTCAAGATGGCGGCACTTCCGCTTATACCGGAACTCAACTTTCTTATTTTAAATGGAAAGGTATATTTTTTACTGTGTTTTTGGATTAATCGGGTTATTTTAAGGGAGATTTCATCAGCTTTGCCTATACCTAAATTTAGCCGTTTTTGAAATTTTTTGAGTTTTTCAAAAATTTTTGGATCTGCACCTTCCACTTTAAAAACCGGTAACTCTACCATTTTTTAAGATTTTAAATTTGTTTTTTTTTTTGGCGTTTGAAAGAGAAAGCTTAGATCCTTTTTCTGGTGTTTTCAAATTTTGAAAAAAAAAACATCCCAAAATTTGAAGGTTACTTTTGTAATAATGCAAATACTCATAGCTAACTCAATTGTTTCAAATGAAATACCCAAATTTTTATTTTACTAAATAGAAGAGAATTTAATTGTGCATTGATCTGTATTAACATTCCCTATACCTAAATTTAATAATTTTCAAGTTATGGACTTTTTTTTAATTCTACAGAAAATTTATTACTAGCCATACCCGTTTTCACATAGTTTGCTATGGAAATCAAAAATGTCAAAATTTTCTCTAAACAAACGTCAACAGTAAATTACTATTTGACAAATAGTGCCAAAATATGAAGAATTAAAGTTATGCAAACTTAATTATTATTGATAGGTTCTACCAAGCAATCATTATTTAAAGCTAACAAATGAGAAAAATTTATTTTTGTTTAATGAACGACATCATAATTTTGTTGCACTCTCCATAAATACAAAAAAAAATTAAATCTAAGTTTGAGTAGCTTTGACTCTCCATATTTTGGCACTATTTGTCAAATAATAAGTCACTGTCGACGTTTATTGAGAAACAATTTTGATATTTTTGTTTTCCATAGCAAACTACACGAAAACGGATGTGGCTAGTAATAGATTTTCGGCTGTCTTAACAAAAAGTCCATAACTTAAAAATTATTAAATTTAGGTGTAGGGAATGTTAGTACAGATTGATGCAGAATTAAATTCTCTTCCATTTAGTAAAATAAAAATTGGGGTATTTCATTTGGAAAAATTGAGTTATGGGTATTTGACTTATTACAAAAGTAACCTTAAATTTTTAGGGTTTGTTAATTTTTTTTTTTCAAACACCGGAAGAAAGATCTAAAGTTTCTCTTTCAAACGACAAAAAACGAATTCAAACTTTTAAAAAATAGCAAAGTTACCGATTTTTAAAGTGGAAGGTGCAGATCCAAACATGTTTGAAAAACTCCAAATATTTCAAAAACGGCTAAATTTAAGTATAGGGAAAGCTGATGAAAACTCTCTTAAAATGACCCGATTAATCCAAAAACGCAGTAAAAAATATAGCTTTCCATTTAAAGTAAGAAAGTTGAAACCGACTTCCGTTGTAACCGGAAGTGCCGCCATCTTGAAAATATTTTCATTTAGGAGGATTTAATGCATTTTATGGCAATGTACCAATTTTCAAACAAATATGATTATTCGAACTCCCAATACTTTTAATGTGGGGTTTAGACGGAACACGCTGTATAAAATACTAATAATAATTTATGAATTAAATTTAGATGTTAACAAGTTCAAGAAGGCGGAGGAGGAGGATGGAGAATCGAAAGAAGAGGTCAAGCCAGAGTCCGGGACTCAATAAAAGCATTCAGGTATGTACTTTTTAATATATTTGGAATAAATACGAATTATTATGTACAGAAAAAAGCATAAAATCCTTCGCAAAGGTCACAAAATTGCACATTAGTGTCTCACTTGACAGTTATCTTAAACAATATCACAAATAATTTGATTGGTATTTAATTTTTAGAAGAATTACCCTCCAACCCTTCATAAATCCTACCAACAAACAATAAAAGACAATAAAACTTTTGTCACTTTGTAGCGAACGAGTGCAAATAACATTGCTAACAACTGGACGAATGACACTTAATTGACTAAATCTAAATTAGAACAGTACGAAAAAGAGTCGAGGACGGTAAAAGAATTCGTGTTTTCTTGTGTCTACTATCGAAAAACACTGTGCGTTAAATAAGATTTAAATTTGAATGGTGACTTGCTTCTGGGCTTGCATTTTAATTCTAGTGTTTTTCGGACAAGGTTTCTCGCCCATTAGGTGTTTCTTCCAGCAAAGTTCCTCGTCTTCGAAGTTTTCGTGGCATAGGGGGCAGCGGTTGTAGCCTTCGACCAAGCCGCGACAGGTGCTCGCGTGATGTTTGATTTCTGATATTTTTACAGCCTCGGAACAATGAGAGCATTGGGTGTAGTTCTCGCGACGTTCGCATTCCATTAGGAGGTGTTCCATCAACATCGACACTTCCACCACTTGGCTGCATTCCTTGCAACGGACCAACATGGGACACGAGCGCCAGTAGTGGGAGTTCATGGAGTTGCTCACGGCCAGGATGCTACTCTCAGGCTGGTTGCAGAATATGCATTGCCTAAAATGTTATCAAAAAGTTGTGTTTTTTACCAAAATAGACATTTCATGTATAAAGCAGATAACACAGGGCGACAAAGAAAAAGTCATGTCGTTACAAATATCATTTTCTTCGTCTCAGTGAGACAAATCAAATGCACTAAAAAAAATTCAAAAAGTCCACACACTTTGAACTAAATATTTTTTTTTCTAATTTAAATGAATTTAAAATACTTTAATTTAAAAAAATCATTACTCAATAACTATTTGGCCGATTTCCTTCGAGTAAAAACCATTCTAAAGGAATGGACTTGCCCTTTAAAATGATATGCAATTTGAAATTGAATATTGGCAAACTTTTCTACGAACAATGTTCGAAGAAGTTCGAAGTAATCTAAGAAAAACCAAACGAGTAATTTTTTTTCTTTGCCACCATCGTTAGATCATCTTTTTATTAGTAAGAATCCAAATTTTTAAAATAATATACCAAGTAGTTTCTAAAATATCATTTTTTGAAGTTAAGGTTTGCTGTTCAGGTATTGCGCCAAATAGGAGAAATGCATGTTAATCTTTCTTAAAATTACATTTTTATAAAAGTATTTGTTTCAAGAGTCTTCTTTTGCTTAAAAATGGTCAATTGCACCTTCTTTGTTCTAATTAGAATAAACAAAAACTGTTTGTTTACTTAAAACAAACGAAGAGTACTTGCGTACTAATTAAAGCAAATAAAGAGTTTTTTTGTTCTAAAAATGATCACTGATCATTGAGCAAAAAGAATCTAGAAGTTTAAAGCAGTAGCTTTAAATATAAGAACAAATCTTTTTCAAGTTAAAATCACTTTCCATTCAGATTCCAACTTGTTCACTTTGTTCTATCTTTCTGAACTTTTTTTTGAAAATGTTTTCAGCAGAATGCTTTTTCATCACTTTCTACTGGTGTTGAATGCAATAAGTCAGTTGCTTCGTGTGCAACACGGAGAATGTACCAACAAAATAAATCAGGTCGCATTTAATATCACTCGTAAGTGATGAGAAAGCATTTGCTCAGGACATTTTCAAAAAAAGTTCAGAAAGCTAGAACAAAGTGAACAAGTCGAAATCTGAACGGAAAGTGATTTGATTTGAAAAAGATTTGCCCTTATATTTAAGGCTTGTGCCTTAAACTTATAGATCCTCTTTGCTCAATGATCGGTGGTCATTTTTACAACAAAAAAACTCTTTATTTGCTTTAATTAGTACGCAGGTACTATTTATTTGTTTTAAGTAAATAAATAGTTTTTGTTTATTCTAATTAGAACAAAGAAGGTGCAATTTACCATTATTAAGCAAAAAAAGAGTCTTCAAACAAATACTTTTATAAAATGCAATTTTAAGAAAGATTAACATGCATTTCTCCTATATGGAGCAATGCTTGATTAGCAAACCTTAACTTCAAAAAATCATATCTTGAAAACTACTAGGTATATTCTTTTCAAAATTTGAATTATCACTAATAAAAAGATGCTCTACACGATGGTGACAAAGAAAAAAAATACTCTAGGGTTTTTCTTAGATTATTACGATTTACTTCGAACTTCTTCGAACACTGTTCGAAGAAAAGTTTGCCAATATTCAATTTCAAATTTCATATCATCCTAAAGGGCAAGGCCATCCCTTTAGAATGGTCTTCATTTGAAGGAAATCGGCCTAATAGTTACTGAGTAACGATTTTTTAAAGTTAAAGTATTTTAAATTCATTTAAATTAGAAAAAAATTAATTAGTTCAAAGTGTGTGGACTTTTTAAATTTTCTCTCTCACTGAGACGAACAAAATGATATAAAATTTGTGAAGTTATAACATGACTTTTTTTGTCGCCCTGTGTAATTAACTAAACTATATTTACTTTTCCTCATCGTCCTTTTGGGAGTTGTTACTCGGTGAAGAAATGCTGGCAGAACTTGAGCTTTCGTTCTTGGCATTACCATTATTTTGGATGTTACTGCCACTCAGACTCTTCGAAATGGCGTAATTCTTCGTTTGGTTATTGACTTGATCGTAGTTGAAAATATTTTGGATGTTAGAAGTGCTTGGACATTTATTTAGCTCGGTGGGAGTTGGTTCTGGACTGAGATAATCGGAATTTGGAGGCAAAGAACACTGTTGAATGACTCTAGTCTTTTCCAACATTTCCTTCTTTCTCTGAAATTGAACTCAAAGTTACAGAGTTCAAAATTTTAAAGTAATTTACTTGTAAGTCGATTTTATCAAACTCGTGAAACAGTTGCCGGTAAAGTAGATTCCTTCTAGTGATATCATCGTCTGGTGGTAATTGTTTGCGAACAAGTCTGGGATTGACTTTGTAAACCAGGACGAGGATGCGCTCTGAAACTTTTCTTACAGCTTCTGCAGGATGGTGTAAACCACTCGAGCCAAATTCAGACAAAGTTCTACACGTTAAACCACTACAATGCAATGCTAAGTACAAGCCAAATGGCACTAGAATTGCTACCTCTGCTTATCAGTGGAAATTCCATGATTGATAATGAGTTGCTCAACCATCTCAGCTCTACTTAAGGCTAGTCTAGGATGAGTACTGCTGCTAACAGGTCTACTCAAATGAACAGGGATTATGTGTAGATCTCTATAACGAACTCACTTTAAGCAATTCTTTGCTTATTTACTAGAGACTTACCTGACGTTTTTACAGTCGGCCATTGTGAGAATAGTGTGTACAGCCATGTGGTGTATTCTAGCACTAGTATCACCTGATTTAGTGAGAAGTTCAGGAAGGAGTTTGTCGACACTTCTGGCAACTTCGGGCGGAGAAACTCTCCCGGGTACAAACTGAACGAAAAAAAGTCGAATAACCTCGTTTGCTAAATTATATACTGAAAAAACTTTATCTCGAAGAGTGCGATGTAGGAGGAAAACTGCCGCTCTGGCAGTTTTATTCGCAGTATGCATTTTAGTGTTATCATAGCTCAAAAGCTCTTCTTTTAATCGGTTGAGGCCGTCCTCCTTGTCACAGTAGTGTTTTGAATAGAATTTTTCTACCAATTCGTTGCCAAAAACTACTATAGGGAGTGCCGCTTGCTTTTTCTCTCTTTCGGTCAATTTTGAAGTTGTCTTAAAATCATTATCCATTTGACACTCTCGTAAAAACTCATTCGTTTGCGAACTGAAACGAGTTTGATTAAAATTTCCATTAAGATAAATTAGTACATCTTTTACTGTCTCAGTGCTGGAAGTGGCTTTTCTTCGTACATTTCGTAAGTCGATTTAACTATAGCACCTGCAGATTTATTCCTTCGACGAAATGAACCACGTGTTTGGATGTTAGTGGGGCTTCCGGTACTTGGCGATCCTTTTTTGGGACTTTGGTGTCTTGGCACGTGCAAGGGTGAAACTTGTGTTTGGTTTATTTGGGGTGAGTTGGATCTCTTGTCATTGGCCACACGGAGAAGAGTCGGAGATAAAGGGTTTTTGCCAGAAGGGGCCTCGGTTTCGTCAAGACATTCGTCGTTTTTTGGACAATACTAAAATTAATAAATACGTTATGCATAAGCATTTCACCAAAAAATAAAGTAAAACTTGGAAAAATGCACACTTGAAGTTAAATTATACAAGACTAATTGTGCTGTTTTTCAACTACTATTTCTATTAGCTGTTACTGCAAAAAATACACAGAAGATAAAGAGAAGTACCATGAGGTTCATAATTTACTTATTTTTTTTTTCTCTTTAAAATAAACATATTAGCATTTTACCTATTACTAAGACAAGAAATTCATTTATGATATTTGTTTGTTTGTAAGAATAGAACATCAAAACTATTAAAAAACAGTGAAGGGGTTCTAGTAGTTTTTTTTATAATTAAGTACTATTATTAAATGTTTGTTGCGGATATTAAAACACACCTTCATGATTACTCGGTGTCAGTTACGCACAAGGTGTGCCAAGTCTTCGGGCGTAGCAAAAATTTATGAGTATTATTATGGGTATAAAAATAAAAATATACAGGTGTTCCGTTTTTAATTAAAATTAAATTAAATTAGTTTCACCGTTTAGGACGCCCCTGATTAAAAATTTTGATTTTTACATAGCATTTTTTGAAACTTGTTTATAGGAAACTTTTGTTTTAAAATTGAATATTCTATCATCTATTTAAATTTGTAACAATAAAAACGGTACACCTGTATACAGTTGGAGACAAAATACTTTGGTCGTCAATGTCACTTTAAGCTTTAAGACTGTTAACCTTATTTTTAGCTACTGTCAAGTTGTATGTACATATTTTTGATAGGAAAATATAATAGCTGTCATTAATTTGAAATTGTCATTTATTTTAACGTTAAAGGTTGAATTAGATTAAAGTGTCAGAAAAGTGACTACCAAAGTATTTTGTCTCCAACTGTACAAAAAATTGAATCTTATATAAACATTTTATGGAAAATTGAGTTATGTAAAACCACCACATAACTATTCCACAAACAAATTTAGTTTGTTTTTTGTTTGACTACGTGTGTTGAAGATAAAAAGATACAAATTTTGAAGCAAAATTTCCAAAAGGGGAGACCTTTTCATAAAAAATCTAAGGTCAAATTACTGTTTTTTTTTCCTATTTCTGAAAAGAAATACACCATTTTGTAAGTATTAATAGGTAGGACAAATCCTTTTTTTAGTTTTATAAAATGTATTTTTTTTAATTTTATTATTGAAAACAATACCTAGTTATTTATTATACAAGACGATAAAATTAAATTTTATAATATAGCGTCGACGCCTCGACGCTAATATGCTTGAAAAGATAATGCAGATTTTAGCGTCGTGTACAATATAAAATTTTATTCAACCCTCACTAATTTTGTAGTCAATAAATATCGACCAATTTATAAATGTCAAAGTAAAATTCAACAATAAAATCTAATGTCAAAGATCGTTAGCAACTAACAACCGCAGATATACAACAATGGATGTATTTTTTTATCATCTAGACGATAAAATTTCATTTTAACATGAAGAAAAGAATAGATGAAATTCAATTTTAACATAGAGGATTGAATAAATAATATTTTGAGAAAAATTCCCCGTTCATAAATGTTCTTTGTAAAAATTAATAAGACACATTCAAGTCTTATCTTTTCCACTAAATTAATGCTTTTTTTAAGTATTTCCTATTTAAAATTGTTAATTGATCTAAAATAAGCCAGCTTTAAAACAAAAAATATATAAAATTTGGTTTTATTTTGATTTCCATGTCGCCGCTTCTGGATTTATAATTGAAGTATAAATATTTTTTCTCTCAATTAACTTAGGTCAATTTTAAGGATAATATTTTGGGCCATATTCATCAAACAACAGAGATAAATCGAAGCCATTTCGGCATACATTCATTAAATTTTCATGCACTCGTTACTACGTTTTTATTCGGGTTTGGGTGAAAAAGATAATTGGTGTTTTACAAAAATATCCAGTTTTAAATTCAAATTATTTGGCAATAATAAGCTAAAAATTTTGAAACTTTTTAGTTAGTGGAGGAATTGCATCCTTTACTGGTAAAAAACCAAACTTACCCCATCTGTCTCCAGAAGTTGCTCAACGCAAAGTTCTTGATAAATGGACGTCCTGAACTCGTCCATTTGATTCTTCTTATGACGCGCTCTTTCGTAATCTTCCAATTCGATGGCGTGCCGTTTTTCTAATTCATATTTTCCTAGTTTTTCTCCCGCTGATCGGAGGCTCTCCATTGCGAGTTTCAATTTACGAGCATATTCAAATCTTTCACCTAGAAATACACACACAAATAATTGTACACTATTTGTACACACTTACTTATCACAGCCAGACGTTTCTTTGTTTCCATTTCTCTTATAATTTTCGCGACATCTATATCGACATACATTTCAAAGGCCAAATCTTCATAAGGCGACCAATACTCCGGGTCATTCCCCACATCGTTAATTTTTTCATCGTTTTCAGGACTCGAGTGTCTCCTCACGATAATTTCAGTGCCGAGTACGTTCACTGCAATCAGACTCACCTGATTGTTATTATTGTGAGAATTCGAATGGTTTTTTCCTAATTTTAGTTTAACGAAAGACGCAGTGGTGGTAGGGACGTTCGCAGACTTCAATTCTCTACTTTTAAACCCTGTACTCTGGTTATCAGATAAGGTAATGTACCCTAAGTAATTCCAGGTAATTGATGCGACATCATCGATCGTATTGGTGTCTTCATTACTCGAAAATAACTCAATTTTAGAAGCTACAACACTAATTGAAAACCAACTCGAAACAAACCCAATTACTCACGAATGAGATATTGATGAGCTAATATTTGTATCTTGTTCAAACAACACCTCTTAGTTAACTGTATAACAACTTCCTGAGGATATTCGCAGTTTTTCGCCGACTGCCATCCCTTAACCGTGGGTCCGTGAGTATTTAATTCAGTAGCCCGATATTTGGGGTCTTCACCTGCGAAAAATACATAAGGGAGGACATTTTAGGTATCTCTACTTACTAGTGACGTCGATTACAGTGAAGTCGATTTTCTTCGGCATTATTGAAGCCGAGTTCTTTGCGTTTAACTCATTTCTGTATAAGTAATTAATGTTTTTCACGTTGTATTGATTATTTTCGTGACATTCTCACGTGGCTTGGAAAATTCTATTGAGAAGCATTTCCTCTACTTGTTTTATTGATTTTCCAGGGTTGTTTTCGCGCCACCACATGGAGGATTTAAAAATGAAACTCGTTACATAGCCTTGTTTTCTTTATTAAGTATTACAAAAATCATTTTTGTAGGCAATTGAACACTTAGTATGGCACATTAAAAATTAAACAAGTATGTTAGTAAAACTATACACAAGACATTTGTTATCACAGAACACATTAAGTACAACTAATTTTAAAATTATTTATGTAATAAGTGATCGTATGTGTCATTGTTGACGCAATTTTCTTCAGTTTCCTCAAACGGCAAAGATTCGTAAACATTTTCCTTGTTCTCTTGTTGTCTTTTCCGTCTAGGCGTTCTCTTTTTGTAATACCTGAAAATAAACTAGTAAATATTTATTATTACACGCTTAAACTTACCTGTATATGAGAAATCCTAACGGTATTAACAATAAAAGCAAAAGTAGGGCATACAAATGATTGTAACCACTTTCCGAAATTACGCCTTGTGGTGTCATCAACTTCTTGTAATAAACCACATCATGTTCACTATTTCTGTATTTATTAGTAACGATAAAAGTGAAGCAATACTGCGTGTTGGGTCTCAAAACCTTATCATTGTCACCAGTTCCAATATTTACAGTTTTTGTTTGATTGTGTGTCGCTACGTCCAATTTTTCCAAAATCCAAGTGTCACCGAAGTTGTGGCACAAGTGATCAGCAATTTTGCTATTTTTCGTTATTTTCCTCGGAATCGTAGTATTTTGATTGAAGTCTTGGACCACTATTACAACGCTGTAGGATTTTAGTCGATGATCAAGTGTGGGTAATGTGAATGTTACTGAAGTAGGTTGGGATTTAAGTAAGACAGGACTCTGGTCTATATGTTCGCCCAAGTCGTCTGTTTTCACATGGACGTGGGCAAAAGGACTCTTGTATTTTGAATTGGCAGATTGGACAAACAATTCGTAATGAGTGCTGTAGGGTATGTACTTAATCTGAAATTATCGAAATTTGATATATTTAATATACCAGAAACAATTCGAAAAAAAATAGATACAGGTTGACCCAGCGAGTTGAAAAAGTCCATTAGTAAACTTTAATTGGTAAAATTAAATAAAAATATATGGGACATTGATAGATACTAATCTAGTCCATCGTCTAAAATTATTTTCAACTATACAGCGTGTCTCAAAAATAAGTTCCAATACAAATTTGTTTATACATGTTTCTTAGCGTTTTTGGATGTAGATTTTGATGACAATGTTTTTAAGCTAAACTTTTATAGGTCTATTTTGCTTAGTTTTAAAAATAAGACGTTTTTTTGACGAAAACATGCACTTTTTAAAAACTAAGACGTTTAGAAATATTTTTTTTACTACCGCAAAGAAGAAGGTACAAGCTATAAGGTGGTGACATTTTTTTAGTGTGTTGCATTTACAAAGATAAAAAAATTAAGGCGTTTGTTAAAAGTTCAATAACTTCAAAAATTTTAATGGAACACCCTATTCATTGTTTTTGCATTTAAATTGTCTTTCTAAAATTATTTACTTTTATTTTATTTTCAATAACTAAAAATATGTTTAAAGTTAAACATTAAAAAAAATACTATTGTTTCAGTAGCCGAAAAGTGCACAGTTGCACAAGAGATGGAAGAAATATCACTTAATAATCACATTTGTGACTGAATCTATTATTCTTTAGTTTTACAATAAAATAATTCGAATTTCAGTATTTATAACGACTTTTACAATCTCTGGATAAGTCAACAGATAAGTGATCCGTAGTGGAATTACTATGGTTGCCTTAGTATCAAAGATGCTCAGATATTAATAAGCACAGTTGCTACAATTAATATTGAATATTAATTTATTTATTTTATTTATTTATTTTTTTATCAATTGTAAACATTAAAAGTTTATTTTTTTAGGTAGACAATTTATCAATCTATTAGATGCAAAAATAAAAAATAGGGTGATCCATTTAATATTTTTAAGTTATTTTACTTTAAACAAACTTCTTCATTTATTATTCTTTACAAATGCAAAACGCTAAAAAGTTGCTACACCTCTCTTTTTTACAGAAGTAAGAAAAAATTTGTTCTAGCTGTCTTAGTCTTAGTAAAAAAACGTCTTATTTCTAAAACTAAGCGAAATCGACTAATAAAAGTTTAGCGTAAAAACATTGTTTTAAAAGGCTACATCCAAAAATGCAAAGAAACATAAGTGTTTCATTTAAAAAAACAAAAGTTTGTTAGGTTTAAGCAAAATAGAAATGAGTTTCAACTCACAAATAAATGGTATCGTAACTTATTTTTGGAACATACTGTATGGTTGAAAATAATTGTAGGTGATGCAATCAATGTCCTATACAATTTTTTTTAATTGTACCATTTAAAGGTCACTTTCCTGTATGTGTATCGTAAACTTTGTAAAAAAAGGTACTTTTATAAAAAGATTTCAAGCGATACCTAAAGTCTGTTCTTTTTTTAAATGGAAATGCCAAACAGTCTTAACGTTGGCATCACTAGTAAATTCATTCATGGTAATTTTAATAAAGGAAGTTGGCAGTTCCGGTTTTTTCAATTAATTTGAAAACAATGTCATTAAACGTCAACACAAAAAATTGTCTAAGAAAATTTAGAGACGAAACACCAAAAAAAAAAAAAACAAATTCGGTACACTAACAGTTTTTCGAAATTTGGAAACGAATAGTTCGCAAGCAGGAAGTTAGAAAAAGGGCCCGTTAAAATGTAGACGCAATTTGTAATGCAGGTTTGCTAAACATTTTTAATTTTTAGCAAAAAATTGACAAGAATACAAAATAAACATGAATGAGAAAGAACCTCTGAAAGAACGCAATTAAATTAGTGTCTTGTGCATCGTTGTTGAGGAACGACTTGAAAAAGAAACAATTTTGAAACTAAAGTTGAAGAAGAATTTATAAAATGCATCAACTTTGAGCTCATTTCAATAAATTACACAAAATTTATTGCCAATCATCATAATACCTACTTGTATCTTTTGCTAAATAACTTTTTTCTGTATATACATCCTTTTTCTTCAAAGTTTTTGTAGCAAGAATCTCATTTTTGTCCGCAACATTGTACTTACTTGTGGTGTGTTTCTGTCAAAATTATTAACACTGAATTCAGTCTTTGACCTTAGGTAATGATGTCTGTCCTCAGGTATTCAATTATAGCGCTTTCAAAGAGCAAACAGGCACACAAGATTCATAAAAGTTAAAATTTTAACAAGATCTCAATTTGAACAATAACCATAATTTTTTAACAAAATTTCTTGGAACAAAAACAAAGAGCAAACAAAATTTGTGGCTATGGAGACAAGCTTCACCAAAAATTTGGCTTGGTAAATTCCATTAAAAAAAAAACAGACTTTACCTGGTACTCATATCTTGACAAGTAGTACGACGAATTGAATATTTTTAAAACTTCTTGGATGTTGTTTGTTGAATTATTATTATCGGTACCATTCAGAACTATATGAAACGATTCGATGGAACCATTTTGGTTGTAAGGATGCAACCAGGTCACATTCAAGTGACAATAATCCAAACTTTCTTTACAGTCGACAATTTTATAAGTTATGTTAGACGGTGCTCCAGGAACTGTTCAAAAAAAATTTGAAATTCACTATTTTCAGAAACAGTCACTTACCTTGTTCCATTAAAAATGCTTCAACTATTACATCATCCCCGTAAAATTGCGTTCTTTCATTCCTGATGCTTACTTTTAACGTGTATTTTTGATGAGCAATCAAATTGTTAATATCAATGCAGTATTTCCTCTTCCATAATTTGCACGGTGTTATTGGAAAATTGGAAATTTTACATTTTTTGAAAGCAATTGCATTGCAGCGAGTCACTTGACCATACACAGGGACTCCTCGCGAGTTTCTAGGCAAGTCGTAGCGAAGTGAGACTGAATTTTTATCAATTGAGTAAATTTCCAAATTTTCAACAGGTGGTGCTTTTCCCGGTTGTGTAGTAAACTTGTTTTGTATTTTCAAAGTATTTTTATTATTTTGGATATTTTCAAAGTTGCGAGCTGTTGTAATTTCCAGTGTATATGTCGTGAAGGGTTGCAAGTCATTAATTTCAACAGTGTCTTCCGTTTGCACATCTAGCTCTTTGGTTGTGTTTGTCTTTACATTTGTTATATTGAGTGCGTATAAAACCGGTCCGTAAATTGATTTACACGCGATTTTATCCCAAGAGGCGTAGGCTTCAGTGTCGTGCACTTCGATGTTTAGTTTTGAAGGAATTTCTTCTAATGATAATTGATCTAGAATTTTTTTGTCAAAAATGTACGTATCCAACATACAGACATATACCTGACTCCAAAGTTGTTATAAAAATTCGTTTTTCCTTCTCGTGAAGCATGCTCGAAAACGTTATGTTGTATTTGGTGTAAGGAATGAGATTATTTATTGCTATTTCATTATGTTTCGTCATTAGAAAGCCGTTGGATTTTACCCGTTCTAAGCTTGGATTTTCTGGAGGGCATAAATCGTTTGCCTAACAAATGTGGAATGACAAAATGTTAAATTTGTTAATTAGTTATACCTCGTATGTGATGAAATAGTTTATTTGATTGTTGGGGTCTTCCTGCGTCCAGTTTAAGTAAATTGATGATGAATTTGAAGAATTGTCTATTGTTGGAAAATCTGCAAATAAATTTAGGGTAATAATATTTCAATTTTAAATCAAAAACCAACAAGTGCAACAGCTAAAAATTGTTTGAATTTTCTGTTACGACTTTTTAAATCGTTTTTTTAGTTTTCTCAAAATACTTAAAAATTTTTGATTTATGTATTAACTTTTTCGACGTAATATTAAAAAAACCGCGTCTCAAAAAAAAAACAGATAAGAACAGTCATTTTTGTTACAAGTAATTACATAAAATACAGTTTTTGCGGACGAATTGTTGCTGTTTCCAATACGAGGCGAAGCCGAGTCTGGAATAGCAGATGAGTGCACAAAAACGGTTTAGGTGCGTGTTACAAAGAACATTTTTTGTTAAAGCTCCCAAAAACACATTCACATCTTTTATTATTTATGATTAATGTCATTAGAATAGGAATTTCTTGAAAATATTAAGCTTGTTTTTTGTCCGTAAAAAGTGTATACAGGGTGCGCCAGAACTCGCGCCCCAGAGAAAAATGCCATATAAGGTAAGATACCAGGAACAAGGAAAAAATGTTAAAAAAAAATTATTTATAAAAATTTCGGTTAAATTTTGCACTTTGACTCTATTTATTTCTGTTGGAAAAATAATTTTCCAAGTTTTTTTGCTACAGGGTATTAGAAGGGGAATCAAGGAAGCTGTATCCTAAATTCTAACTCTTTTTAATGTTATTTGTGGCTTTTATAGGCAAAATTTTCGTACCTTTACTGGATAATTCTAAAAAAACATATACAAGAACATCAGTATCGTTAAATAGACATAAAAAATGTCAAATGTCAAATTTTTTTGACAGATAGAATTTTTTAAACATTTTTTTACATGTTCCTGGTATCTTATATTACTTGAAATTTTTCTCTGGGGCGCGAGTTCTGGTGCACCTGTATTTTAGGTATTAGTACCCAAAATAACTATTTTGCATACTATTTTATTGAGTCCAAAAAAGACTCATCTTCTTCAAATCCTTCTCAAATGAGTCCGTAAAATAGGGAGCGTACACAAAAAAAAATATTGATTTGAATAATGATCAGAATCAGAAAAATTAATACCTACGTCCTAGACAAAAATACCAACTATTATAATTATGATGCCAGAACATCATTAATTTAAATTATGCTTACATAATTAAATTTTTAGTGATCCAAATTTAAAGCGGCGATTAACATGCAATGCTCAGTACACATAATTGCTAATTGTCTAATTAAAAAAGTTAACAACTTCTTTTTATTATTTTGTCAGATTTTTTCAAGTGATGTTTTTTTATTTCATTACATTTGATGATATTTGGTATAAAATAAAGATTTTGTAGCTGAGAAAAAATAGAAAATAATTAATACAGTTTTAGTACTCGTAAAACTTACAAAGGAATCATCGATATTTGCAGCAACTATTCACTCGCTATTTCCAGCTGCTGCACATCGGGGTTAATAACCGTTAAAATTAGAATTAATTGTTTCGATACGACGTTTCATCACATGTCATAAACATATCACCATCAATGTGTTCAAACTAATAACTCTGGCTTTAACCAGATAATAAACAATAAAAAATCTCGTAAATACCTTTGATTTTCGAGTATACCAGTTTCTTTGGTCTCCATTTAGGGTGCTGAACCACTTGACACGAAATTTCATCAGAATCATTTTCTTTCACCCCATTTTCCAATTTCAAAAATGTTACTTTTACCTCTGTAACGATGCAAATTTATACCATGAATCATAAGTCTATAAATAAATTACCGTTTTCATGACACACTCTGACATCGTCAACCGCCCAAAAACCATTTGTTTGATTTGCCGAACCTCCGACAAATTTGGTTTCAACAAAAATATTAAGTTTTTCGACTTCAACATTATCATCTTTGATTTTCACGAGTCGCCACTGAAAATCCTTGAATTTGCAATTATTTAAATTAAAGGAATTGATTCTGAAATTATATGATATACTTGAGTGGGCAGCACGTCCTTTAAAATTTTCTTTTGTTCGCCTTTTATTATAAAAAAAGTCATAGAACAAGTGGGGCAAATCGAGACATACAAAGCCACACAAAGAAATTTAGAAGGGAGATGCAGTAAAGGCCCGAATCGAGATATTTGTGGCGTCTTTGTGTAAAAAAATTGATCTGCAATAATCCAAATTATTTAGTTCAAAATTTCGAAATATTATACTTTGGTGTATCTTCCACAATGCAACTTGAGCACTTCTGACGAGTAAATAAAGCGGTTTTAGCACTTCCTTATCTTCGTATTGAATAACAGTTCTGTTAACACTGACATCAGTTAAACTGAAAACACCTTTATCATCCAGGCTTATCACGAAATTCCTCCACTCATCACCGGATAAAATCTTGGCAAACGCCTGGTAGGAATCTAACAATTTATCAGTAGCAGAAACGTTTTTGGGCAGTGTCATATATTTCCGCAGGAAAATCTCATTTTGGCTCATATTCAGATGGTAGCAGGGGTGGTTGTGGGGGTTCCAGCCGTCGCAAATTAATAATTCGACACTCCTGGAGGCCCGCAGCGAAAAACCAGCCTTAAAAACGCTGGGAATTTCGACCTTATCTTGAAACTCTTTCGTGTCTTCTCCGGTGAAAATCGTGGGAAAGTCTGGCAAAAATAATTATTTTTTTCTGAGCGATTGATTGCAAGGAATTACCTTCCCATCGTGCGTCGAATAGTAAATCGAGCGTTCTAGTTGAGTTTGTGTCTATTTGCCAATTTTTCAAGGCCCAAATGTTGTTACACTTGTCGTTTTTTGAAAACTTGCAGTTAAAGTCATTTTGAATCGTTGGTATAAATTTATTCGCTAGAAAATAGTTATTTATTGTAAGAGTGTGTTAGATAGCGTTTCATCCACGCAAGAATGTTTAACCGCGAGAACGTCAGTTCGAGCGGTTAATTTTCTTAAGTGGATAAAACGCGACTAACACACGACTGCAATATAACGTATTATCCACAATCACAGGCCCAAATTATTCCAAACTTAATTAAAAATTAAACTGACATTTAAACGGTTTAAACGGCTTTCGGTTAAACGTAGTAAGACGTTACGCGGTTCGCTGGTTACTAACAGTGGAATAAAGTTACTTTATTCCACTAGTGGATAAAGTGGTACTTTATAGGCATATAAAGTGTGGAATAAAGTCTCTTTATAGAGTGATTGTGGATAAAGTAATAAAGGGTGGTTTTGTCCAGTTTTAGACTTACTTATTTGCGGTCGAGTTTCTTCATTGGTTGATAGAGGGTAGATCCAGCCTATTGCAGCATAGCGCTCGTTCTCTTCAGCTATGCAATTGGGTTGTAGAGTGTCACCTTCTTTTTTTACTATGTAAGTCAGGTTGATACTGGCCGACTGATTTACCAATAGGGCGACAATGAGTAGTATGCTCAAAATAAGCATTTTACCCCGTCTGCAAAGTTTAACGAACTAGAACGTAGAAATTCGAAAGGTGATAAAGATAAAGGTGTTTATTTGTCAACAGTGAACATCACGCGGAAGTGTGTTAAGTTTACACAGTAGGAATAATAAGTGTTGCAAGAGTGGAAATCGTCGTCAACATTACTTACTTTTTTTGGACCATTTTCTTAAACGATTTCATTCAAATTCATGCACGCACTCATGTTGAAATTGAAATGCTTATATAAATAGAAAAGTCCTTGAGTGCATGATCGAGCCTAAATTTTACGATGATGTGAACAAGTTTCTCTTTTGATGTTAAACAATAGGCAACCTGTTTGACAGAGATTAATTCTCTCTACAACAGGTGGGTTTACCTGAATATCAACTTTTTTCATGATTAGTGGGCGGAAAACATACATAAAAAAATAATTTCACCAAAAAAATTATCCAATAAAAACAATTTTTATTTGAAATTGAATGAAAATGTTCTGTCTTTTTTACTTGATATATAGGTATAAATCAAAGAGGTAGGAGTTAGTGTAAATAGCTTTATTAGCAAAACGTGTAATACAATTGTAAGATAAATATTAATCCGGAAACAAAGCTACAAATTAAAATTAAACGCCGGTTAGTTTATTCATGTTGTTGCTGTTCCTCTTTCTGAACCTCGGCCGGTCTCGACGGCTCCTTGTCGCCCTTCTTCTTTGAACCCGAAACAATATCATCAATGCGCAATAACAAAATTGCCGTTTCGACTGCAGTTTTGTAAGTTTGCAACTTTACAGCGAGTGGTTCCCACAATCCGTTAGTTGTTTGTTCTACCAGCTCTCCACTTTCCCCATCTATACCCCAGGTGCAGGGAGTATTAGGATCAGTATGATTCGCATGTTTGGCCCTCAAAGCCGTCAAAGTCCTAATAGTGTTAGCACCGCAGTTCTGGGCTAAGGTCTTCGGAATAATTTCAAGGGCGTGTGCTAAGGCCCTGTAAGGACCATGAGTGGCCTTTTGTAACAGTTTTTGTGCCACAGCCATCTCGATAGCGCCTCCTCCAGGCACCAATCGTGGCAGTAGTACTATATTACGAGCTACTTGTAATGCATCTTGTAAATTACGTTCGATTTCGTTAAGTATGTCTTTGCTAGCACCGCGCAAAAGAATGGTACAAGCCTGTAAGAAAAAATATTCAATCATTTTTGCTCAATTTTTAAAGTGAATAATTACTTTTGGGTTTTTACATTCGGTAATGTAACAGAAATACTCGTCGCCCAATTTTTTGATTTCGAAAAGTCCAGCACCTGTGCCAACGTCCGATTCTTGTAGTTCTTCGGTTCTATTGACGATGGTGGCGCCACAAGCACGTGCTATGCGATTATTGTCAGATTTGCGCAAGCGTCGAACTGCACTGATGCCGGCCTTCAGAAGAAAATGCTGAGCTAAGTCGGAAACCCCTTTTTCGGTGAAAACCACATCAGGTTTGAGGGCGATAATGTCGTCACATTGGCGACGGACATGTTCTTCTTCTAGTTCAAGCAGACGAGTGAAATCCTATGAATGGTTTACAGAATAAGAAAAATAAGTGATTTTCTCAAAGCTTTTTACCGTTTCAGCAGTGATTTCAACGTTGGTTTGAGATTCGCCTTTCTTGTATTCCAAAGAACAGTCCAAAAGGATAATTCGAGGATTCTGAAACAAACAAAAAATGGTTTATACGGGTTATTCATAAATATAAAGCAATATTTGAACCTCAAAAATGACCTATAAAATGATGTTAATTTAAATAATAACTCGTGTCCCATCTCTATTGATAAGAATTCTACAGCTCTTGGAATATGGGTATGGAAATTATTTTTTTTTGTAATAACTTTGGAACCATTTGACCAATATTATAAGATTTGGAATAGTTACTTGCGAGAACATACCCTCAAGGCTAGTAATTACGAAAACCGGAAACATCTACTCAATTTCCAGTTTCAGCAGTTGCAGGTGCATTTTCTGTGTTTTTCCGTTTTTTTGGCCTCTTAACACTAATTTTTTATTGCTGAAATCTAAAAAGTAATCAATTTCGATTAAAAAACGCATAACCTTTTATACCACTAAAATGGACCGTTTTAAAGATATCTTAATTTAAAGTAAGGACTGCACAACACTGAAAATGAAAAATATGAATTTTGAATAAGTGGTAACCACGGCAACCAATGACCATGGTCACATACATCCCTGCCAGGCATCTTTTAACTTTGACGATAAATTTTTGTGATTTTTTTATGAATTAAATGCTACGAGATCCATTTGGATTTAATCTAAGTTATGTTTGGAGTCTGAGGTGAATTCTTTTATTAAAAATTTTCGATTAATTGTCTAATAATCGTCCAATCTCAAGTTGACAGATGCCTGACAGCAAAATATGTGACCATGGTTTGTTGCCGTGGATATCACTCATTCAAAATTCATACTTTTTGCTTTCAGTGTTGTGTAAAAATAGTTCTCACTTTAAATTAAAATATCTTTAAAACGGTCCATTTTAGAGATATTAAAGGTTATGCGTTTTTTTATTGATAATTGATTACTCTATTGTTTTCTCAAAAAAAAAAAAAAAATTTAAGAGGTCAAAAAACGAAAAAACAGAAAATATGACCTGCAATGGCTGGAACCGGAAATTGAGTAGATGTATCTAGTTTTCGTAATTATTAGTTTAAAAGGTATGTTCTCACAAGTAACTATTCCAAATTTTATAATATGTGGTCAAATGGTTCCTAAGTTATTACAAAAAAAAAAAACAAATTTCCATACCCACATTCCAAGGACTGTAAAATTCTTATCAATAGAGATCGGACACGAGTTATTATTTAAATTAACATAATTTTATAGCTCAGTTTTGAGGTTCAAATATTGCTTCATATTTATGAATAAACTGTACATTTTGAATGACGACAAAGTTGTTTAATATAAAAATAGATTTTTTTAAATATTTCACCTGAATGTATCTTCTCATTTTGGGATGAGTCACGTCCTTATTGACCATAACGCCCCTTAAAATCTGAGATTCCTCTATTGATCCTCCAGGAACCTTCTCCACTTTAGCATATCTTTTAATATCAACTTCCGTTCGACCGTTTTCTTCTAACAGAACCGTATTAACTGCATCCAGGGCAATATTTACAGCTAGATCCGACCACTGGCGTATAAATTTCGTTCCTATGCACCCTTTCACCTAAAATCAAATCTTCATTAATTTCATTTTTCCAAAATGTAATTAATAACTTACGACATTTGCCAATGCGGCTTTATCATTACGGTCCACAGGCACACTTAAAGGCCCCTCTAACATCGTCACCATATCTTCCAATGCTTCTCTATACTGTCTAATTATAACAGTTGGATGCATATTTTGATACAAGAACTGCTCAGCTGCTACCAACATCTCGCCTGCAAGAACGATAACTGAGGTGGTCCCATCGCCGACTTCTTCATCCTGAGTTCTCGCGATTTCAATCATGCTTTTGGCTGCAGGATGTTGAACTGTGATTTCACGGAGAATCGCGTTCCCGTCGTTTGTCATAACAATGCCGCCCATGGGGTCCATCAGCATCTTCAACATGGCTTGAGGGCCCAGACATGTTCGAATAACGTCCGCGATTTGCTAATAAAAGAAGGTGTGACAATTACTATAACCTCAAATTTTCAAAACAGCCCTTTTATCGTTCACATACTTAAAACGAGATATTAGATTTAGAAATGGGTCACAGATTTTCGTGAAAAATTCGTAATGAAAAGCACGTGTTAATCATACCTTTCCGGCGTTTATGTTCTCCACCTGAACCTTGCGGCCTGACTCACGCTTCGTGTTTTGACCTGAAATAAGTAGAAGCGATTTCAATAGACAATGGGCGGAGAAAATAAGTTGCTTACTTACTTAAAACCAAAATTGGGGCACGTCCACCGCCGAACATTTTATTTTTTTAATAAGAACACCGGGACAATGCAAAACTTTCTGTCAAAATTTTCTCTTGTCTTGGTCGGTATAGCAGGATTTACCGTTACCGATTGATTCAAATTTTGGTTGTTTGACGAAAGTTATGTTTGTTTTAAATTGTTTACTTACTTCAAACCAAAATTGGGACAGGTCTACTGCCAAATAGTATCTAGTTTTTTTGAATACAAACACTGGGACATTAAAAAAACTTTCGGAATTTTTTTGTATTGGTTGGTTAGCAGAATTTGATGTTACCGACTGGTTTAAACTTTGGCGGTTTTGACAATGGGGCAAAAGAAAGTCGTGTTTGTTTTAGGGCCGCCTGGAGTTGGTAAAGGGACACAATGTCGCAAAATTGCCAATCATTACGGCTTTGTTCACATTTCTGCCGGCGAATTATTGAGACGTGAGAGACAAATCCCGAATTCTCATCATGGGGAATTGATCGATTCTTGTATAAGAGATGGCAAGATAGTTCCGGCAGAAATCACCTGTAAATTGCTAGAACGCCATATGGAAAATTCAAAGGAAGACTATTTTTTGATCGACGGTTTTCCCAGGAATCAGGAAAATCGTGAAGGTTGGAACAAGACAATCGGGAATAAAGTGGAGGTTTTATTTGTTTTATTCATTGATTGTCCTGTTGAGATCTGTATTGAGAGATGCCTCAATAGAGGGGCTGCGGCTGGAAGTGGACGATTTGACGACACGATTGAGGTTATCGAAAAACGAGTCACCACCCACATCAAGGAGACACAACCCACTATTGATTATTACAGAGAAATGAATTTGTTGAAACTCGTTAATGGAAACAAGTCTGAGGATGCAGTCTTTGAAGATATTAAGCAAATATTTAATGCTTATCAATAAACAACAAATTGCTATAAAAATATATTTGTAATTGTGAAAAAACTAAAACTACAAATCACTGTCATCGTCCAACACCAGTATTCTTCTCTTTTTCGTACCACCTTTATCGTCCGATTTTTTTCGTTTTTTATTCCGTTTTTCTTCCTTCAACTGCATTTCCAAAATTTCCAACTCGGACAAATCATTGTTGCAAGTTTCCACTTCTTGACTACCAACGCAAAACGAATCCTTGAAAATAAAAATAAACTTATTGTTGACTTCAACATTTACTTACATTCATATAAGTGTCATCTGCATCGTTAACTTCTTGAGAGAACACATTTGAAACGTTACATCTGGGTTTAGTCGGAATTTTAAACTTCCCTCTTACCGGACTTTTCACAGATTCTAAGTATTTCGCATGCATAGTTGTATTGTTAAGAAAATCCTCTGTTTCGTCTGCGACAAAACTTGCTTCAAAACAATCTTCACCACTATCTTCGTCTTCGGAAATGACAATTTTCTCATCATCCGACACGACGGCTTCGTTATCTAAAAATTCGCAAAACAATTTCCGTTTCTTTTTCACATTAGAAGATGAAGGTTTGTCGATTTTATTTTTCTTCTCAGAAACAGGTTTTGGTTTTGCAAAAATCGGACTCTTGATTGGGTCTTGAAACTCGTCATCACTATCCCCCGCGAGAGATATATTAAACTTGGATGTTTTCTCTTTAGGAATTTTCTTTTGAGTAGTCTTAGGAGTCTTACACTTTTGTTTTGCTTGTGAATGGTTGCGGTTAGTTGAGAGTTGAATTTTTTTTGTTTTTGGAGTTGTGTTTTCTTTTTGACTGCCACTTTTGGCTATGAAACTTTTAGTTATGGAAAGTTGAGTCTTATTAACTTGTTCAGAGGATTTTTTAATTGGACTTAACTCAAAATCGCTATCAGTTAAATCGATAGCAGCAACAACAGCTTCATCAAGGTTCTTGGTTTGTGTTTTCGTGGTTGTTCCATCTTCAGCTCTATTACATTCTAAAACTGATTTCTTTGAAGTTTCTCCACTTGAACCAGATAGGAAATAAGAAAAATCAAAAATGTCGTTAACATGCGAGAGTTGTTTTACAAAACTTTGGTCATTCTTAGTTTCCGTTTCCACACTTTTATCCTCCACTTTAGTTTTATTGAAAAACTGTGATATATCACACAAATCATCGATAGATAAATCAATTTTTGTCTTTTTCTCTTCATTATGAAAAGTGTTGCTTGTTTGTTCGGTATTAACAATCACTTTCGCAGTACTTTCATTGTTTTGTGACAATCCAAAAACAGACAAATCGCAAATATCACTAATCTCTAAATCCACCGCCTTTGCAGGTTCAACCTTTTTCTTGTCTTGATTTTCATGTAAGGTTTCTCGATTTACAAAAAACTGAGACAAGTCACAAATATCACTAATATCAAAACGATCTGAATCCTTTTTGGGAGTTGAAATTTGTTTATTTCTTGTGGTTTCAAAGAAACTTTTTTGTGGTTGATTCAAGTTCGCCAAATTCAGTTTATTCGCAACCTTTTCTTCAAATAACTTCTTTTTTGCTTTTATATGTTGCATTGTTTCATTTGTGCTTAAAATCGGAGATGAGGATTCTTCGGTAAGAACTGATAGATCTTGTTTTTCGTCAGATGGAAATAAATCTGGTGATCCTTCAAAAAGATCAGGACTAGTATTATTGGGTGAGATTTTTGTATTTTTTTCAGGAGTGTAAATAATAGTTTTGTCTAAATCTACGACTTGTGTTTCTTCAAAAAATTCCGCAATTGATGAGACTTTAAAAAATGATAAAAGCTCTTCGTAGTTTTCTGTAGCCAAATTTTTTGAAACAACTTTCTTGGTTTCAACTGGACGTGTTTGTAGTAAATTCAAAACTTTATCGAACGAATTTGGCGTTTCAAACACATATGATTTTTCGGCAACTTTCTCTGGACTTTTTTGAATTTCTTTATCGTCACATAACCGAAACGAGTCTAAAAAGGAATCGAAGTTTCTGGGAATCCCATACGGTTCAGTTTTCTCTTGATACATTTTCTCTTCTAATTTATCCAATTGACTCAATAGACTATCGTCAAAAACCCCATCCACTTTCAACACATCTTGTTTTGTTTGCGATTCTGAGATTAACGAAGCAGTGAAGGCTTCCAAATTTTGGACGGTAATACTTTCAAGGACAGATAAATCAGGCACGACAAAAGTGCTTAAATCCAAAATTTCACGAGGTTTATAATAGTTGATTTTTGGACACGCAAATAAAGATTCCCACGTTTTGTGGGTGTCTTTCATTGAGTCCTGTATTGATAAATATGTTGACAATTCTTCAAAGAATTCAGATGGATATGATTGTGGGACGTCTTTTCCAGAATCAAATTTTTGGCTCGATGGCAGAAATTCTGTTAATAATTGAAAAAAATAATTCGATATTTGTCCAAAAATGAATCAACAAACCTTGACTCAAAACGCTGACACTGGGTTTGGCAAACATGCTTCTAATATCACCTTGTTTCAAACATTTATGTTGATTAAAATCACTAAATATTGCTGAAAATTATTAATACAATAATGAAACACAGGAAACTGATGTAACTCACATTTTTGTTCTACTGGTAGATTGTAACGTTTAGAATCAGCAAATTGTAGCAAAGTAACGAAAATTTCGGTTTGTTTCGACGGTTTTATCATTTCTTTAGCTTGAAACACCCTTTGTTTTTCCAATTGTTTGCTAAAATCAATTTTGGGCTTTTTTTGTATTTGGAGAAATTCGTCCTTAGTTTTATTATAGAAATTATCAATATTATCACTGAGTCGTTCCTGAATTTCCACAATTTCTAGATCTTCACTGAATTTCGGTCCATCAGACATGTTTCGAAACATATCTTTCAAATTACTGTTTTTGGTTAAGGCGCGTTTTTTAACAGTAATAAACATTTTCTGGCATTTTGGTTGTATGTACGAAGGAATCATTTTGGGATTGTCTAGGTATTTCCCCTGTTCTAACAGTTCCGAATTTGTTGCAAAATTCCCCAAGTTATTTTTGTAAATCAAACAATCTTTTAACGTTTGTTGCTCTTTCCCTTCTGTAACTAAAACCACAACACGGCCTTCTTTTTTGCGGCCTGTCCTTCCCATCCTTTGTATCATTCGAATTGGAGATTTATTAGCGATATCGAAACATACAATTAAGTCGACTTCGCCCACGTCGAGGCCCTCTTCGCCTATACAGGTCGACAGGAGCGTATTGCAAGTTCCCTCTCGGAAAACTTTGACCGTCTAAAATATACTAAATGATTTTTTTCTTTTTGTAATTTTTACACATACATTTATTTGCTCCTTTTGTGTCACTCCAGAGCGCTGACCAACGAAAACACGTGGCTTGATCATAGGAAAACTTCGAGTAAGCAAAGCATAAGCTTCGGTGGCACTTTCTCGGTACTCGAAAAAAACAATCACTCGTGTGGAGGAATCCGAATTTTTGAAATGGGCAATGAGTATGTCTCGAAGTTGGTAGAATTTTGGGTGACCGAATTTTATTGACTCAGGAATCTTGAATTTGTAAAAATGTTAAACTTGCGATTTTTTGCTTATGTACTTACTTCAGCGTAAGTCCCATCAGGAAGAGATTGGACTTCAGGGTCAGGACCTAAGTATTCTTGAAGATCGTCCATTATCTGAATTAAACTCACATTTCCATGTAACAAAGGGTTGTGAATATGTTCTAAAATAAATTTTAATAAAATTATGATTTTATGGCTAAATAGTGATACCTTTAAAAAAATTCAAAAACGCCCTTAAGCCACAACGAACAAGAGTTTCATAAGCGTGATAGAGAGTGACACAAATATTCAAACATTTTATGATTTCTCCATAGTTTGCCGTTCTAAAAATATATTTGCTATTGATTTCGTTAAGGAATAAAAAGTTAAAAACGCACCTATTGGCTGAATTTTTGGCCTTGAATTCCTTCATCACCATAAAAATTTTACCCTTAGTGAAATTAGTACAACTTCCATAAATCACTTTATTCTGAATTAAAGTCTTGGTATATTTCTCTAAAACCTAAACAACAATATCACATATCTAAACCACTCATGTGGCAGACCTGAATGTACTGATCCTTGATTTGTTGCAACTTGTCCCCTAAAGGTACAACAACAGTCTCAAGCGCCCTTTCAAACACATACGGTTTCACATCTGGACTTTCCTCATTCCTATATTCCAAATGTGCGATCAACAAATTCCCCATAACTTCTAAGACATCCTTTGAACTATTTCCTGGAGTGGCGCTCAACGCCAACACCCGAAATAATTTATTTTTCTCTGTCAATTTGCGTATGATTTCGCAATATGCGTGATTACCTTTCGCTCTATGTGCTTCATCAAACACCAGACATTTAATTTTCCCACCCAACTCGACAATTATCGAGAGATCGTTTTGTAAAACTTGTGGTGTAATAAAGAAAACTCTTTTATTTTGCCAAATTTCAGGCCGCGATTTTTGAATTTTGGTGCCTGTAAGCTCAGCCGTAACGTCTTCAGGGATTGCCATGATGTTGTAACATGCATCCATTTGCTGTTTGACGAGGGGTCGCGTGGGGGCCATGAAAATGACTTTATCGTAGGGATACCAGCGGTGAAAATTGTACATAACGACTGCCGCAATAAAAGTTTTGCCAAGACCTGTAGGGAGGCTTACCTAAAATATTACATAAGTTTGGAGGGTGGACAAGATATGTTTCATTCACTAGAGTGTTTTTGTGTAAGGCTTGTTGAGTAATATTGTACTGGTAGTCTCGAACGGGAAGATTTGTGGGGTAAATCCATGACTGACCAGCTTGTAGATCAAAGCCTTTGGTGTCAGGGTCTTGGCATAAGGTTCCAGCACTGTTTTTAAAGGGTTTGAAATGACTTGTATGTTGCTCTCTTCCACGACTTACTCATATATTCCTTGTGTGTTAATTTGCGAAATGTTCATTATAATTTATATCATTATTCGAATTAAACAGGAACACTCGTAATTTGAGGTTAAAAGTTTTAAAAAAATTGAGGTTAAAAGTTTTTTCACTGTTTTTTTTGACAAGAAGAAAACGACACACAAAAACACATGCTCTTAAAATCTTATGCGCTTGGAGCCTTAAATTACAGGACCGCACCTTAGGAAATTTGACCGCACTATTAGGTAGGTATGTCGATTAAAATAATTATCACCTTTGTTAATTATTATTAATTATTACCTTTTTATGTGGTAATTTAATATGACGAAAAACGTTGTATATCCCACGTGCTGTTATAGCCTTCTTAACAGTGCTGAATACGTAAATAACTACCCTTTGTTTTATTTGTACATATAATTTTATCAACCAGACGATTATTGTTGTAAGTAATTAAATATAACAAAATTAATAGGTACTCCTCTTGATTCTTGAATAAATACTCTTTCTTTATATCTCCAATTTCTAAATTCGTAATAATTTTTTACCCGTCTATTCAGTTTAAATCAGCCTTTTTGTCATATATGAAAAACAGTAGGACATTTTATTTAAACAAAATACAAAAAAAAAAACAAGAAGTACATAATTGAAATAAACTAAAAAGTCAAATCTTCTCGTTGCTTCAAATTGCGTAAACGAGGTTTTGATTCCTCTATATCGCAAAATCTATTTAGATAGATTAAGGGAGTAAGAGTCGGTCTTCCGTGAGCACATTGGAATGGCAACTTACAATAACCTAAATTTTTCAAATGAACAAAACATTCGTTTTTTGTTAAAGAATCTCCAAATTTTATTGCACCTAAAACATGAAATATTTTGTCCATTGTAAAATGTTTGTAATCTGCATACCTCTGCAAGCTTCAGAATTCACGATATTTTGAATAAGACTTGGAGTATTTACAATAATTTCATTGTTATCTTTCAGAAGATCAACAATTTCTTTTATTAAAGTCTGAGTTAAAAGCACAATATCGACCTACAAAATTACAAGTGTTACAAGACCTCAAGTGAAGCCCAATATCCTACAACCCCTTTTTTAGATTTGTTGTAAAGACACAATGGAACTTTGTAAATAGTTAAACCATTGGTGAAAAAATCCAACACCAGACCTAACGACCTAAGACTCATTTTTTGTCGCCTTAAAAGAGTTAAATCATTTTTTTGTAAAAAAAGTGTAATATCCTGGTCAAGTTTCGTTGATGCGTTTTTGTAACCTTTTAAATTTAATTGTTTCAAAATTAATAGTTACAAGTATTTGTAAACCTTCAGAAAGCTCCTCCAAGCGCACCCTCTCATGTACAGCATGTTGATCAAATAGCACAATCAAATTTCTTGTTTTTTCCCAAACTGCGATGAATTTGCAATCGACCTGTCCAATAATCTCAATATTTTTGAACAAATCCTTGGTAAAACTTATATTTTCAAAATCCTTGACATGTTTGCTGAAGGCATTAGGAATTTCACCTTCAATCATTTTCGACTTTTCTAAATAAATTTCTTCAAAGAATTTTTTCGGATCTACAACACTTTGATTTGACAAAATAACATTTGGTAACACAATTACCCCTATCATCAATGTAGTTTTGCCACTTAATCATCAACAATTCATCTTCGTACGATTTTATCAGTGCGTCTTGTAGATGCTGTTTTGATTGAGGACTCATGTCGTCCACTTTGTCAAAATCTTTTAAAATTGGGGATAGTCCTTTTGGTACAAAATCGAATCTTTCCGCTATTTCAAAAGTAATATCGTTTTTAGGATTAGAGACTGGCTTTATCCACATATTTTGAGGTTGACTCAATGTTGGAGCTATAATATCCTCCACCGATCTTTTTCCTTCAAATTGTGATTCGTTTTCTATAATTTTTGTATTATCTTCTTCATCAAGTGTTATAAAAAGTTTGCTTTCCGACTTGTCACATTCAGGAAAATCAGTAACAGAAAATAAATCTTTCGACTTTTCAAAAGATGTGTTTAGATATTTCGGAGTTTGGACTCTCAACTTGCAACTTTTAAATCTTTGAGGTGTGAAGTATTTGCTTGTGTGTGATCCACTTAAAATTCTTTTTGAATTGTCTTTTTTAATAAACGTTAAATCAACTTGATTCAATGTTTTATCCAAAAAATCGTTTCTGTAAGTGCAAATCGGTTTCTGATTTCCTTTATTAGAATCAATCTGAGGTGACTTTCGGAGAGACAAGAGATTTCTAGCTTTCGATTTTTTTGAAAAATAGGGCGACTGTTTTACATTTTCGGCTGAGAGTTTGAAAGGTAAGCATTTCTTAGGTTTCAAATGATGGTTTTCACCGACAACAAATGTGTTTTCTCTTGCAGAAAACTTAAATGCACATGAAGGGGTCCCACAATCAAAAATATTGTTAAGTCTAGGATTACGAAAGTCGAACAATTTTTTAGGTTGATTGTCATTACTAAAGTTTGGAAATTCAGAGTTATTTGTCTTAAAATCAAATGTCGGCAAAGCGTCCAGTTTAGAAAAATCAAAATCGTAGTCTGACACAAATTTAGTCATCGACTTTCGGGGTAGAAAAGTGATATTATTGTCAAATATTGGATTCATGTTACTCGGTCCTGCCTGAATGCCTATTGATACCATATTTTCTTTAATTGGAGACTTATCTATAGTGGTTTGGACCTCCATTGCTACTTTGTTTGTCTCTGATGTGCTGTTCTCGGGAAAAGTCTCATTAAATTGTTCGGATTTTTCCGTCTGACAGAAAGTTTCGTTCCCCTTATTTTCTGGAGGAAACACTTCTAGTGACATTATAAACATATCCATAATTACGTCTTTTCCCTTTTTTTCGTTCTCGGGGAAATTCGTGTAAAGACTATTATCCATTACACCCTCAAACCCCTCAACTTTTTCCTCCTTTTTCTCCCCTTTTTTCACCTCAATAGGTAACGCTACCTTTGTTTGCTTAGACATTATTCTTGGTTCCCCAAAGTAAGGTGTATCCTCCACAATTTTCGCCGATTTATTGGAAACCATTTCCTCCAATTCATCACTTTTCCTCTTTGTCCCAAAGCCTTTAACAGCCCCTCCTATTTGAGACACCCCAAACTCACTTACAGCAGCCGTTCTTGATTTTTTGGCAACCACCTCCAAACTATCACCCCCAATAAACGTGTTGATCATTTTTTGGAGACAACGCTTCACGGTATCCATTTTTTTGAAAAAGACAAGAGTTTTAGCCGGTTCCAGAGTAATATCCACGTCAGAGTAAGGACATTTAATGTGTATCACAAAAATCGGGTTTTTCTTTTTGAGGTCATGTTTTGGAAATCTCTTAAAAAGCGAATTAATAAAATTTTGGATTTTGGGCGAATTTATGGGTCTCTTATTGACGTACAAGTATTGCAATCGCTTGTTTTCGTGCAATTGTTTGTAGATTAGACCCTCAACGCGTGTCTTATTTTTGCTAACTTTGAGTAAAGCGAATTCGTTTTCGTCAATTTCGGGGTGGATTGTTTTAAAGGAACTTGCAATGTCGGGGGTTTCGACGCTTGAGAGGATTAATTTCAAGCCTAAATCGTTTCGCAAGGTGAAAGAAACCCGCGGATGGATGATAATAAGGCTTTCTAGACTTCTTTTGACATTTTCCAATTCGTTGTTTTTAACGCATTGTTGCCTTACCGGTAAATTATTCAAAAAACCTTCAACTGTAACAGTAGTTCCATGACTCGCTCTACATTTAGTTAAATTAATTGTTCCCTCATTTTTCTCGATGATTTTGACGAAAGTTTTCTCACTGCTCGGCTCTCTCGTCTCAACTGTAACGCGTTGCGAAATTTGAGAAATGTTAGCCAAAGCTTCGCCTTTGAAACCGTAACATTTTAAATGTTTTCGGAGGTCGTCCAAACTGTGGCATTTGTTGGTCATGTAGCGTTTTCCCACAAATTCCAAATTCGACCGCGAAATACCTCGCCCATTGTCCACGACTTGTATACGAAAGGTTGTGAGATTGACTCTAACAGCGATCGCTGTTGCCTTAGCGTCCAAACTGTTTAAAACCTGCAATTTTCACATAGATTAATAAAATTTATATTAGGGAATGGTTTACCAGCTCTGTAATGCATTGAGTCACGCTGTTAATGGATGAAGAACTTCGTATTCGTGCAATAACATTTTCTTCAAGTGGTTCGACAACCATTTTGCAATTTTTGCCGTTTAGATGCCTTTGAAAATCTAGGGTTTTTTGGAAAATAATGAGTGACATTATAAGTCACAGCCACCTAAATAAATAAATGCTTCAATAAAAATAAAAAATTGATTATATTTTGGTAAATAATGAAACAGTGCAACAGTGACTAGTGGAAACATGCAGTTATTTAATAAATAATTCCGACATTTTTATTATATAATTTGTTCGGATAAATCAGCACCAATTTATATAAAAAAAAGTTTAAACAATCCAAAACCACAATTTAACTGTCTCTCATTAATTGTTGATGTTTGTACGTCTCCTTCAACATTTTCAAATTTTCCTGAAGTGAGGCCACCTCTTCAAACCGTTGTGCTTTTCTGGCTTGATCAATATAATTTCTTACAATATTCATTTGTTCAATAAGTGGGTCCTCAGCTTCTGTATTGTCGTTACTGACAGCTGCAGGTGACCATCCCGTGGTCACTGTCACCCTTTTTATATTCGTTTTCACTGCCATTTGATTTTCTTCCTCAATGTTTCTCAGAGAACGTTCCCGTTTAATTTTTTCCAATTCTTGTATTGAAGGGGGCGCTGGTAACGTTAGTAGATAATCTTTAATGTAGTGAGATGTAGCTCGTCTTATACTATTTTGTAATAATTCTACTTTTGGGGTTTCTTCATCTACAGGCAAGGATGCGATTTTTTTACTTAAAATGTCAATTGATTCAGCTTTTTTGGCAATTGTGGCTCTTAAAGCTTGAGTATCCTGAAGATGAAATGTGGTTTCCCCTGAAGTGAGGGAATTATACATTTTCAAATATAAATCAACGGAGCTCTGTGTCTGTGATTTGAGGTTTTGTAAATGGTTATACAGTTGGCAGATTATTGGTTGTCTCATTTGTTCAAGTTGGACGCGTCTGCGGCTTTCAAGCATGTCAAGGCAGTGGTTGCAAATACGTAGACTGTCAGGTTCCTTGCCTTGGACTTGCTCCCTGTTGTTTACGTCGACGTTGTGAACGGGGGCAACTATAGCTTCTGTAATGAACAATTTAATATTCAAAGATAGCAAAAAACCCGACTTACGCGCTGTCTCATATGGCAAAAAATAGGAACAAGAGTTGCACATGATACTCCCACACAGCCTACAATGATGCTGTCTTCTTGTAATGTTAAAACTAGAAGCACATGAAGGGCACCGAGTGACAGTGGAACCATCCAACCAAGCCACTAGTTCCTGTTCTTGCTGTTTGCGGTCTGATCCATAAAATCTTAACAGTCGATCCAACCTAATAATAAGTTTATTAGTTTCGGTTGTTCGATGGTCGAGTCGTTCCCTACGAACGGCTTTGAAATAATCAGTATGAGTCCGGATCTGACCAGGTTCTTGAGGTTCGCTTATTTCTAAATAATACTTTTCTAAAGTGATTTCATTTTTAAAAGTTTCCAAGTCTTGTTCGTCTAATTTTAATATCTTTTTCTTAGCTTTACCGTATAAATCTATGAAAACAAAGATTAACATTCAACTGACAGTTACCATAACCTCACCTTTTATGGATTTTAGAATGTCTTGTTCTTCGGAATGTAAATCTTGGAAGTGGGCTATGAGGTTGTTCGGTGAACGCAAATCTTTGTGGCAAATGGGGCACAGGAAGCCCTCTCTTATTAAATTTGCTTCTGCCATCCGGCTCACCTTGCGAACATGTCAAAAAAACTACTGCGCAGGTCGCAAAAAAATTATGCTATACGACAAATCTTGATATACAATTTTTATGCAACTAAATATACTTACTTCTGTGTACAAATTAAGCAAACAAATCTAAATTTTAATCTTAAATTTCCAAGAATTATTTGAATTCGCAATTGCAATATTGCTAAATTTAGTAAATAAGTCAAGTTTCAAAACCGTTTCAAGACCATATTTTTTATAAAAATAACGAATTTTAAACTTTGTCTTGCACTTTTGAACTATGTTTTGGTAAAGTCTTTCGATTTTAGTGTGTTTTTCGCTGAAGAAAGCTTTAGCTTTAGCTTTATTTTTGCAATATCTATCAACTTTTGTAAATTTTTTGCTGAAAAACTTTGAATTAACTAAATTAAGCAAAAAAACGCTTATTCGTACTTAATTTTATAGAAAATAATTTATTTTATATCTATTTTAGCAATTTTTTGTTTTAATTTGGCAAAATGTTTTAAATCTATTTAGTAAAAAATGTTGCCTTACACTTGTAAAAATATTACAACAGGGGATTTATTCGTTTATTAGCCTGATACTTAACAAATTTTTAACAAGAGCGGCTGAGCTTGCAGGCGATTTTTTCTACTATTTTAACTTGGAAATCATGAATTCATGACCACTAAACTTCCTAGCCATGTGATCTTCAACCTTGTGGATGATATATTCTTAAAATTAATTAATTCTTTACAAAGACCACAAGCAGTTTTTGCTCATTTTTTAAAGATTTTTTGTTACTATAAGAATTTTTAAAATCTAACCTAAACTGATGATTAAGGATCGGATTATATGCACGAAATATTCGTAAAATATGCGCATATACAGGGTGATTCACGAGGAATAATGAACCTGACCAAATTTTCGATGCAACCAACATTACACTTGTCACAAAATAACTTGCGAAGAGTAATGGTGGTTGCATCGAGAATTTGGTCAGGCTCATTATTCCTCGTGAATCACCTTGTATATGCACGTATTTTCACAAAAATATGCACAAGATATTAAGAAATATGCCAATATATGCCAAATATGCATCGATATGCAAAACTTTTAACAATAAAAAATCAAAGTTGAGATAAATTTTTATCCTCGAGTACACTAACAAGCCATTTTAATTACCTAGTGATTAAGCCTTTCTAAGAAATCTGTACTTTTCAGATCACATCACTTTAAACAATTTTGCTAAAATTCATTTACAGGCAACTACTTATATTTTATTACATAAAGTGTTTATTCTTCGGAAAAACTAATTGTTGAATTATATGTAAAGTACTATAAAAATGTGATGTTTAATCAAATATAAAATTTTTCGAAATTTTTATTTTTTTGAGTTCTACAAAAATATTTATTTTTTTTTAATGGCACCCCACACATTTTTCTCATGAAGGTCATAATCTACGAAATTACAACTATCTACTTTATATTGAATTAAAAAAAAGTTATATAAACTGCAATTTTGACAACAAAAATCGAATAACTCAAAAACAAAAAAAAATTGTTCTCAAAATAAGATCTTTTTTTTGTATTACTTTAATTTATATTAATTATTATCTTTTGGAAATTAATGGTTTAAAAAAAACCGCTTGGTTCGATACTTTATATTCACCCTGTATAAAACGAATTTAAAAAGGAAACATTCAGCAGGATACTAATTTTTTGAGTCCGGCTTACGAATTACCGGTTGTTTTCTCCTTAAAATAGTTTGTAATTGGATCATTTTTCTTAAACCGTCCAATTTTTTTTTAACTTGAACTGAAATTTTTAATCGGAAATTTGTGATTTGAATAAAATATGCACAAATATGCAGTATTTCCTAAAATATGCACAAAGTTGCCAAAATATGCATTTGGATTATTTTAATCAAAAAACGTTAGATATGCATAGAAAACTTACAAATTTGTTGATATACCTTTTAAAAACAAATATGCATTTTGCGTATAATCCGAGCCTTACTGATGATACTCAACAAATTTTTAATAAAAGGCAAAAGTGCAAAAATTTTTACTTAACAAATTTTTGAGGCCACAAGTAGTTTTTGTTCAATTTTTTGGAGTGGAATTAATTTTGTTTAAGTCTCCCCTCTGCTATCTGTTGAGGTTGTCATTTTTAATTCTGTATCTAGTTGTGGAGTTGTCAAATTGTGCAACAAGTTTCAAAATGTCGAAAATTTTACAAATTAATCTAAAAAATTAATACTGAAAATATGTCAACAAAAAAATTACAACACAACATCGTGACCGTCTTTGATGTGAACCTCAACGGTTAAAATTTAAAGCAAAAAAGACCAAAAACTACTTACATATAAAAATAAAAGTAAAGTGATTATCTCATGTATTTATTTACAAATTAATTTTTTAATGTAACATTATTTACATATAACTTGCTGTTTTATTTCTTATCAAATACATTTTTTTATAAATTCATTGCAATAAATTATGTGATACAGAGCTCTGTAAAAATATCATACATTCGAATGCACAGTAGTAAATCTAAAATTAATAACACCTACAAATTAGCGACAAAGTTAGATTTTTTCCATAACAAATTGTACAATCAAATGTTACATTAGATAATATAATTTTACAATATGGTACAGTGTGTTAGTAAAAAAATGCTTCACGCATACCCCGACAATAACAACATCAACAAAACATTTAATTATATGATAAAAACAAGAAGGTCTTTGTAAAGCCAGAGAAAAAAGTATACTCATTAGTCTAAAAGCAAGATTCTTGCAACCCTCCATTAAAACTCTGATTTGAATTATTGCTCTGGTGCAACCAGTGATGCTAAAATAACAACATTGGGCATTATTTTAAACGAGCGCAGCAAGAGTTTACTTAGAAACTGATGTATAATTTTTTCTTCATCTGTGCATAAAACAAGAAATACCGATCTAGTGAGAACTGGACAACAAAAGTCTTGATTTTAGATTAAAAACAACAAAAAAGTGGCGATATGTGTTAAAATTTTGATTTTAGCAAGTTATGACATCTGAGTTGAGATTCGTTTTCCTTGTTAGCCACTTCTGATCAACAAGTCAACGACGAAAAATAAAACAAAGTGATTGTTCGTTTATTCATTCCTTTACTGAAATTCGGCCCTTGTAGCCATGGTTACGGTGGTCTGCACAGCCGCCGAATCAGTCCTTGGTGGTGGTAGAGGAGAAAAGAGGTGAGTAGGGGTGTTAGAGTGTTTAGGGGCGGAAGCGGCGACGGCTAGTTGTGGGGGTGTTAGGGACTGGCGGGAAGGCTCTCGTCGCTTTCGAGGTAGGTAACGTAACTATCGGTGCTGTCGGGATGCGTCATGACGTCAGACGGCGGCGCTGATGAGGGCAGCATTCCGGGCGGCGGGCCTGTCGCGGGACCCATCGATGGGGGCGGCAAGTCGTAGCCGTGCATCTGATGAAAAATTAATACAAATGTTATCAAAATCACTACAAACTGAAATCGGGATTGTATCGAAAATCTTTCACTTGATAATAATGAAAACTTTTCATAGGGTATAAATGGTACAGCGAAAAACTTTGCATCTGGCGAGTTTTGTCACTGGTGAGGCATTCCGCGCATATGATGTGTCGGTAGTTGCTTGTTAGCTTGTTTAGATATTTTTATAAAAATAACTTTGACAAAAAATAATTTATGACTTAAATTTAAATTACAAAGTTACCTAGGAATTTCACTATTATATCATTATAATTATCCATGTCTCAATTTTAAAATCGTAATCTATCTTTCTACACAATTAAGTATTAAATAAATGCAAATTTTCATCAGTATATGTATTTGCAACTTATTTCAGAAACTTTTCTATTGTAAACGTCATTTCTTATTCAACAGCATATTTAGTTTGAAGTAAAGCTTACTTTTACGTTCAAATGAGTAAGTAACAAATTATTTTTAAAAATATACAACTTTATACTGTAACTAAAAATTAAATTAAAAATAATTATAATTTATGATTAATTAGCTATTTATTTACCAAGATAACAAGTAAATGCCGTAAATGGCAAAATTAAATAAACAATATTATTATTAGAAATACCTAACAAAAACCACCTATTATTAGAAATTAAAATCACCAAATGAGACTATTTAATAAATCACTCTTTAAAATATTGATACTTATTTTTTTTTTTTTTGAAAAAGTTGTCAATGACAAATTAAATAATTTCATTTCATTTCATTATTAATTTTTATTCAATTCAAACAGGTAAACGTGCTAACTCTTTTGAACTCGTGGCAACGTTTACAAAAAAGGAATATTTAAATTGAACTATTGAGATGTTGCAACCAAAATATTGCAATCGCAAAACAATTGTAACAAATTTAAAAATTTGTTTTTGCTAATAATTGTTCAGTTCAGTTATTTTATTAAAACTAAATTAATCAATTTTAATTTTTGTGTATTAAAAAAAATCCTAGCCATTGGAGAACTGTCTACCCTATTAATAAACAAATTATTACCAAAAAATTACTTCTAACTTTAATACAAAAATTAATTTTGAATAAGATTAAAACAAACACTCTGTTGTAGTAAGAAAAAAATACCTACTACATACAGGGGTATTCACGAGTAATAATGGGCCTAACAACATCCCGACGCAACCAAATAAACATATTTCTCAAACGTGTAGATATCAATTAATCTTTTTATTTTTTAATGAATCCGAGAACGCTTTTATTAAGACAATTTTCATTTGACGTTTCGTGACATCTATCAAACCTAACATGTATTCAAATGACGAAAAAGTTGATCTTTTGTTAATTTACGGTGAATGCAAAAACGCATATGCAGGCAGCAGTTCAATTATATGCGCGGCGGTATACTGGTAGAAGAGTACCGACTGATAAAGTAGAATTAAATGTCAGAAGAAATTTTGGTTTCAACAAGACGGTGCTCCACCGCATTATCACAAGAATGTTAGACCATATTTGGATGAAATCTTTGAAAATAAATGGATAGGAAGAGGTTCTTTGGCCTCCTCGGAGCCCCGAACTCACTCTCCAGGATTTCTTTCTGTGAGGAGCAGTTAAAGACAAAGTGTACCAAACACGAGTTGAAAGTATTGAAGACTTGCAAAATAGAATTGTTCACGCCTGTGGGTTTATAACACCTGTCTTGAGGAGAGTGAGACGATCATTTATGACACGAATTGCAATTTTTAGAAGAAACATTTTGAACACTTATAAGGGTTTGAAATAAAAGTTTGGTGTGAGGGGTTAAATTGTGTTTTTGTCCAACTTATTACGTTGATTCTTTAAGTCTTGTTATTGTATTTTTGTTGAAATAAAAATAACCTTAAAAAATTACATTGATTTATAGGTAAGTTCATGGCAAATTGGAAAAAAAAAACAGAACCAACTATGCTTTATTTTTTTTAGTAAATATGAATGATCCACGAAGCTGATGACAATGCATAACTTGTTGCGTTTCATTTTTTGTAAGGCCCATTATTACTCGTGAATAACCCTGTAATAAATAATCTACAAATTTTTTAAAATCTTTTAAATCTTCTGTTTATTATAGCAAAATTAAATTGTAAAATATTTAGAAAATCGATGTGTTTGTTGTCAAAATTTGTTTGGATTGAATAAAAATGATATGAAATTATATATTTAATTTG